CTCAGTCCTTGTGGAAGATGGATAGACGCTCAAAGCTGGTGCTGTGCTCTGCCAAATTCACAGGAGCCCTGCTTTTTGGAAAGAAGCTAGACAAGGCAGTGGCAGACAATGCTGCAAAATCTAGAGAGGCCCTCCTGACATCACACCATGCCTTTAAGAGAGAGTAGAGACCAGTTTTCAGATGAAAGTGCTCCTTTTGGCCTTCATCCTCACAGAACTACCAACACAGAGACAGCAGGTTCTCCAGAAAAAGCTGTAGAATCTTGATTTGGGAAGAAAGCCAAGCCCAAGGGAATTCTGCTGCTCCCAAAGCCTCTTTATGACAAAGACTGCATAGGTTTCCACCAGGAGCTGAAGCCTAGGGGCAGGATTTCCCATTTCTGGAGGAAATAGATCAGTGAGCCAGGGATCGTCCCTTGAGTTATAGGCTCCACCCCATCTGTTTTTCATTCAGCTCCCCCATCTCAAATGACCCTTTAAAGCAAGGTCTAGTCCAGAACAAAAATTTTCACCTCCTGGATATGGGAGTAATAGGGACCATTCCCTCAGAAGAAAGAATCTCAGTGTTTGTGGTGTTTAGATGTTGCTTGTAATTATTAGAATTGGGAGCACTGGCTGTTGGGAGTCTGAAAGGACAGGAAACAGGAGGGAGGAGTTGAAGAGGCTGAGGGAGAGCTACAGAGGGTGCAGCAGCAGCTTGGAAAAGAGGTTTCCACTTTATTAAAAATAAAGTCCTGTTGAAGTTTGTTAGTACCTTGCCTGGCTACTACAAAAGTGTTCTTCTCCATATTTATCATTCAGAAGTGTTGGGGGGAATCCAATCCATTCTAGATCTCAAGAGGCTCAGAAAGTAGATGAAGAAAATTAAGTTCTGAATGGAGACCCTAATCTCTGTGGTGTCATCACTGTCCCAGGGCAATTTTCTGACTTTAGTGTAAAAAAAAAAAAAAAAAAAAAGGAGTCCTTGTGGCACCTTAGAGACTAACAAATTTATTTGGGCATAAGCTTTTGTGGGATATAACCCATTTCATCAGATGCCCCTACTCTACTTGCGCTACATTGATGACATCATCATCATATGGACCCATGGAAAGGAGACCCTTGAGGAATTCCACCTAGATTTCAAAAATTTCCACCCTACCATCAACCTCAGCCTGGACCAGTCCGCACAAGAGATCCACTTTCTGGACGCTACAGTACAAATAAGTGATGGTCACATAAACATCACCCTATACAGGAAACCTACTGACTTCTATACTTACCTACATGCCTCCAGCTTTCATCCAGACCACATCACACGATCCATTGTCTGCAGCCAAGACCTCAGATACAACCGCATTTGCTCCAATCCCTCAGACAGAGACAAACACCTACAGGATCTCCATCAGACATTCTTAAAACTACAGTACCCACCTGGTGAAGTGACGAAACAGACTGACAGAGCCAGAAGGGTATCCAGAAGTCACCTACTACAGGACAGGCCCAACAAAGTAACAGAACACCACTAGCTATCACCTACAGCCCCCAACTAAAATCTCTCCAGCGCATCATCAAGGATCTACAACCTATCCTGAAGGACAATCCGTCACTCTCACAGATCTTGGGAGACAGGCCAGTCCTCACTTACAGACAGCCCCCCAACCTGAAGCAAATACCAGCAACTACACACCACACAACAGAAACACTAACCAAGGAACCAACCCCTGCAACAAACCCCGTTGCCAACTTTTCCGCATATCTATTCAAGGGACACCATCATAAGACCCAGCCACATCATCAAGGGCTCATTCACCTGCACATCTACCAATATATGCCATCATGTGCCAGCAATTGCCCTCTGCCATATACAATGGCCAAGTCTCTACGCAAAAGAATAAATGGACACAAATCAGACATCAAGAATTGTAACATTCAAAAACCAGTAGGAGAGCACTTCCATCTCACTGGGCACTCAATAACAGACTTAAGTTGCCATTCTTCAACAAAAAAAACCCTTCAAAAACAGACTTCAAGAAGAAACTGCAGAACTGGAATTAATTTGAAAATTTGACACCATCAAATTAAGCCTGAAAAAAGACTTGGAATGGCTGGGTCATTACAAAAAATAATTTTCCCTCTGTTGATACTCAGACCTTCTTGTCAACCGTTGGGAATGGGCCACATCCACTTTGATTGCATTGGCCTTGTTAGAACTACAAAATGTAATTTTCCCTCTGTTGATATTCACCCCCTTCTTGTCAACTGTTTGGAATGGGCCACATCCACCCTAATTGAATTGGCCTCATTAGCACCGATTCCCCACTTGGTTAGGTAACTCCCATCTTTTCATGTGCTGTATATTTATACCTGCTTACTGTATTTTCCACTCCATGTATATGATGAAGTGGGCTATAGCCCATGAAAGTTTATGCCCGAATAAATTTTCGTCTCTAAGGTGCCACAAGGACTCCTGTCTGTTTTTACTGATACAGACTAACATGGCTACCCCTCTGAAACCTTTCTGACATCAGTGGACCTGGCAGATGCATATAGCCACATCCCTGGCAGACTGTGCCATCACAGGTTCCTAGGGTTTTCCTATAGCAGGAAGCAATCTCAATATCAGATGCCTCCCATTCAGCCTGTCTTGAGCCCCACATGTTTTTACAAAGGTGGTGGTGATAATCATAGCCAGACTCAGGTTTCAGGGGATCCATCTGTACTTGTTCCTGCATGACATCTTAATCAGAAACAGCACACACTGTTACATCCCTAACCTTGAATCTCCTGTACGCGAATGGCTTTATTATCTACCTCGAGAAAAGCGCCTTGATTCTGTCCACCCAAATAACTCACTTGGGAGTGGACATAGATACCTTGATAGCAAGGATATATCCCTCTTCTAGAGAGGTTCCAGAAGGTTCAAGAAGACCTCACATTGTTTTGGAACTGCAGGAGTGCCCACTATTGCAGTGAAAATTCAATTGCTAGGCCTTCTAGTATTGTGCGTAGGGATCACTCCATGGGACAGGCCTGTGCATAAGCACACATCAGGTGCCTTCAAGGCTTCATCTTCAAGGTATGGAACCCATTTCCCAGAATGCATAAAAGATCAAATAAGGATTCCGGCACAGGTGATCAACTCCTTAAATCAGTGGTCAGCCCAGGGCAATGCCTGCCAGAAAATGCACATATGCCTTCCAGATCCCCTGATCCTGACAACCGATGACAGTCTGGAGGGCAGGGGAACACACCTGGCATCCCAAACAGCTCAAGACATCTACAACATGGAGGAAAGGACCCACAACATATAGCTCATAGAACTATGCAGTCAAGCTTGAGCTTACCCAAGGTTCATTCCAGCCTAGAGAGGAACCAGTCGGATAACATGACCACAGTCACATATGTGAACAACCACAGGAGAACAAGATGATCAGGGTTACATGCCAGAGCAATGGAAATCACGTAATGGGCGGAGCACTCTCTCGTCTCTCTGAGGGCAGTTCATGTAAAGGGAGACCTGAACCAGAAGGTGAACTGGCTCAGCAGGCCCAAAATGAGCAATTCTGAATTGTGCCTGTATCAGGAAGTCTTCAAGTTAATTGTCCAATCTTTCAGCCTACCCTCAACTGACACATTCACAAACCACATGAATGTGACAAGATCAAAGTACTTCACCAGAGGAGTGGACCCCAGATCCAAGGAGACAGATGCACTATCACACAGACGGCCACAGGGCCCCCTCTGCATTTCCATCCTTCCCATTATTAGGGAATGTGGCCCAGAAAATAAAATGAGAACAGGTTACGGTAATATTGGTAACCCCACATTGGCCAAGGAGACCTTGGTTTTTGGACTAGAGCTGAAATAGTACTGCCACTACAGCTTCCAAAGAGACAGGACTTCCTCTCACAAGGTCTTCTGCTTCATCCAGACCAAACTGGCTGCATCTAACAGCCTTCCTATTGGAAAGGGAAGCACTAGTACTGTTGGGTCTGTCATCCAAAGTCATCAGATCACTTATTTCATCTAGAAGACTATCAACCTTGAAAGCATACTCTGTCTGGACCAAGTTTTGCAGAACATGAAGCAGCCAGAATTCCTGGATTTCTAGGGCTTATCTTCAATTTCTTCAAGAAGGCTTTGATGAAGGTCTCTAACCAAGCACTGTCTACACTATGAAATTAGGTCGAATTTATAGAAGTCAATTTTTTAGAAAGCGATTTTATACAGTCAATTGTGTGTCTCCCCACGAAGCTCATTAAGTTGGCAGAGTGTGTCCACAGTACCAAGGCGAGTGTCAACTTTTGGAGTGTTGCACTGTGGGTAGCAATCCCACAGTTCTAACAGTCTCCACCGCCCATTGGAATTCTGGGTTGAGCTCCCAATGCCTGATGGGGCAAAAACATTGTCGTGGGTGGTTTTGGGTACATGTCGTCAGTCACCCCTCTCTCTGTGAAAACAAGGGCAGACAATCGTTTCGCGCCTTTCTTCTGTGCGGGCGCCATACTGCTTTCAGCAGACGGTGCAGTAGGGCTGCAACCGCTTCCGCTTCCACTCTGCTCTCCTGGTGGTCTCGCAGGTCCTCTATAAGACTGTTGTCATCTGCCGCTTCTGCTGCAACTCTGCTCGGCTGCTCTTGTCTCGCCATACCATGGCAAGCGTGCAGCCCGCTCAGCTGTTGTGTCCTGGCAGCAGACAGTGCAGTAGGTCTGCAAAACTGGTCATCCAAACCACCGCTTCCCCTGCAATTCTGCTCTCCTGCAGACACCATGCCTCAGCAAGCATGGAGCCCACTCAGCTCACCATGGCAGTTATGAGCATTGTAAACACCTCATGCATTATCATGTAGTCTATGCAGAATGTAGTCAGGAGCTGTTCAACTACAGGCTGAGCAAGCACAGAATGGTGGTAGAATGTGCATTTGGACGTTTAAAAGCACGCTGGTGCAGTTTACTGACTCAGTTAGACCTCAGCAAAACCAATATTCCCATTGTTATTACTGCTTGCTGTGTGCTCCACAATATCTGTGAGAGTAAGGAGATGTTTATGGCAGGGTGGGAAGTTGAAGCAAATTGCCTGACCACTGATTACGCACAGCCGGACACCAGGGCAATTAGAAGGGCACAGCAGGGCGCACTGCGCAATAGAGAAGCTTTGAAAACTAGTTTCATGGCTGACTAGGCTATGGTGTGACAGTTCGGTTTGTTTCTCCTTGATGAAAACCAACCCCCTTGGTTCACTTTACTTCCCTGTAAGCCAACCGCCCTCCCTTCCCCCCTCTTTGATCACCGCTTGCAGAGGCAATAAAGTCATTGTTTCAAATTCATGCATTCTTTATTAATTCGTCACACAAATAGGGGGATAACTGCCAAGGTAGCCTGGGAGGGGTGGGCCAGGACGGAAGCATCGGGTGGGGTGGGGGAGGAGGGAAGGACAAGGCCACACTGCACTTCAAAACTTATTGAATGCCAGCGTTCTGTAGCTTGGGCAGTCCTCTGGGGTGGAGTGGTTGGGTGCCCGGAGGGGCCACCCCTACTGCGTTCTTGGGCGTCTGGGGGAGGAGGGCAGTTGATTACACAGGGGCTGCAGTGGTGGTCTGTGCTCCTGCTGCCTTTCCTGCAGTTCAACCAGACACCGGAGCATATCAGTTTGATCCCCCCAGTAGCCTCAGCATTGCATCCTGCCTCCTCTCATCACACTGCTGCCACCTCTCCTGTTGCTCCAGCCATTTGTCCTTTCACGTGTCCCTCCTGTCCTCATGTTCATTTTGTGCTTTTCTGGACTCTGACATTGTCTGCTCCACAGATTCTGCTGGGCTCTTTCAGTGTGGGAGGACTGCATGAGCTCAGAGAACATTTCGGCACGAGTACTTTTTTTTGGCTTCTTATCTGCGCTAGCATTTGGGACGGAGATGCTAGTGGCAGCGTTGAAACATTTGCAGCTGCAGGAGGGAAAAAAAGGGAGAGTACAACTGAAAAAGACACACTGGTCATTTAAAAGGAGGGGCTGATGTTTTCAGGTTAACGTGCAGCACAAACCCAACTAAACCCTCCCCACGCCCAATTTTCTGGGATGATCACTTCACCCCTCCCCTCACCACGTGGCTAACAGCGGGGATGATTTGTTTTCAGCAACAGGCAAACAGCCCAGCAGGAGCGGCCACCTCTGAATGTCCGCTTAATAAAATTCCCCTATTGCAACCAGGTGACCATGAATGATATCACTCTCCTGAGGATAACACAGAGAGCTAAAGAACGGATGTTGCTTGAATGCCAGCAAACACCGGAACCACATGCTGCCAGGCTTTGTTATGCAATGATTCCAGACTACGTGCTACTGGCCTGGCACGGTAAAATGTCCTACCATGGAGGACGCAATAAGGCTGCCCTCCCCAGAAACCTTTCGCAAAGGCTTTGGGGAATACCTCCAGGAGACCTTCATTGAGATGTCACTGGAGGATTTCCGCTCCGTCCCCAGACACGTTAACAGACTTTTCCAGTAGCTGTACTGGCCGTGAATGCAGCCCAAGTCTTCAGGGCAAATTAATCATTAAACACGTTTGCTTTTAAACCGTGTATTATATTTACAAAGGTACACTCACCAGAGGTGCCTTCTCTGCCTTCAAAGTCCGGAAGCCCAGGTTGGGAGGGTATTGGCTGCAGGGTGATAAACAGTTCCTGGCTGTCAGGGAGAACTGTTTCTCCGCTTGCCTGGTGTGCGCTATCTTCAACCTCCCCCTCCTCATCTTCCTTGTCCCCAAAATCCTCATCCCTGTTGCATGAGACTCCCTTGCAGGAGTCCACGTACAGGTGTGGGGTAGTTGTAGGGGCACCCCCTAGAATTGAATGCAGCTCATCATAGAAGCGGCATGTCTGGGGCTCTGACTCTGAGTGGGCGTTTGCCTCTTTGTTTTTTTTTGGTAGGCTTGCCTGAGCTCCTTAAGTTTCATGCGGCACTGCTGTTAAAGCCTCTGTCCTTCATGCCCTGGGAGATTTTTGAAAATATATTGGCATTTCGTCTTTTGGAACAGAGTTCTGATAGCACAGATTCGTCTCCTCATACAGCGATCACATCCAATACCGCCCGTTCGGTCCATGCTGGAGCTCTTTTGCGATTCTGGGACTCCATGGTCACCTCTGCTGATGAGATCTGCACGGTCACCTGTGCTGATCAGCTTGCCACAGTGGCCAAACAGGAAATGAAATTCAAAAGTTTGCGGGGCTTTTCCTGTCTACCTGGCCAGTGCAGCCGAGTTGAGAGTGCTGTCCAGAGCGGTCACAATGGAGCACTCCCGGAGGCCAATACTGTCGACTTGCATCCACACTACCCCAAATTTGACTCTGTGATGTCGATTTCAGCGTTAATCCCCTCGTCGGGGAGGAGTACAGAAATGGATTTTAAGAGCCTATTAAGTCGACAAAAATGGCTTCGTTTTGTGGACGGGTGCAGGGTTAAATCGATCTAATGCTGCTAAATTCGACCTAAACTCGTAATGTAGACCAGGACTGAGCTGCAGACTGAACTCAGCAGTCAGAAGTGAGGGTGCCTGGACCCTAAGCTTAGGTAAAATTGAGATGTATGTAATTCTTGTGTTAAAACACCCTTGCTCTTGTTATGCTTTGTTTCTACTGTTGAGATGAAACAATCCTTTGTTTCTGAAAAGGCCATTCTGGGTCCTGATATTCACTTCTGATCAGAGTTGCTGCAGGGTTTGCAAGGCCGAACCCAGTTGGGCAATCATGATTGGTACACGGAAGGAGGGCTGTTGCCTGAGATTCAGTCTTAGAGTGAGAGAATCATGGGATTCCCCCTAGAGGCAGGTGGTGAAGGCATGGGGCCTAGCACCTGAAGGGGTGCACTCAGAGAGCCCAGAGAAGGGTCAAAGGTGCAGCTAGTGCTGTGTACCACAATAAATTCCTTTAAGCACTTAGCCCCCAGAATGAAGGCTTCAGCTGATCTTTCGTGGCAATTTTTTTTTATTACTGTTATGTGGAAAATTAAATAAACACAGTTAACTAACATTCTGACCCCAACCAATCAAAGCCAGGGAGTTCAAAGTTAGGAGTAATGTTCCATGCTGAGGTTCACAATACATGCCTTCTATGCTAGCGTCAGCAATGCAATAAGTCCATGCCGGATAATACATGTGAAGGGTGTCCCTTGGCTGTGATCAGAGAATGAAAATGTTCTCTGTTGTAGTTTAGTGACCTTGCACAAATCATGGTGCATCTTATCTCTCGCATTCATAGATTTTAGGGCCAGAAGAGACAGCTGTGATCTGAATGTGTAGATACAACAGGCCATACCATCTCACCCTGTAATTCCTACTTAATGCCCTTAACTTCTGATTGAACTGCAGCATATGGATTGTTTAAATGTGCAGGTCAGTTTTTAATGCCGGCCTGGAAGCAATAACGCTGTTGAGTTGCTAGAAGTAGAGCTGTCCTGACTCTGAATGCCTTCATCAGATGTAGATGTGACCAGCTCTGAACCCAAGACTGTTTGTATTTTGTAACTTGAATGTTCTTTGGGCTCAGTGAAATGGGGCAAATCACTCAACTTAGCCTCAGAACGAGGTACTTCCATTTGTGAAATATATCTCAAACTACCTTCTCTCTCAGTGATTTCTCTTAATGATGTGACAGTGTCTTTACTCAGAATTTCAATGTAATGCTGTGGCTGGTACAACAAGATAGACAACTGTGGCTCACTCTTTTCTGACATCCACAGGTTCTGATAGAGGCTGGAACCAAGTGCAGTCTGGGAAGAATAGGCTAAGTTTTCAAATGAAGTGCAAGCTTCTGGAGCCGACTGTGTGCACATCAAATTTCCCACTTCATTTTGAATAAAATACACCCAGGAAGGATTGATAACTTTGCTTTCACTTTCTAAAATAGTCCCATGGCTCCTCAGCTGTAGTGTATTGGCTTCTGATGTATTCTCCAATACTACAGTATCAGGAATGCAGTCACTTAGCTTCAGTACTGCTTCAGAATTAAGCTGCAGAGCAATGAGAAGACAGTTACTTTAGAACAATGAAAAATACACTGACTAGGTGAAAAGGGAATGATTATTTTAAGCATTTTTAGAAATGTAGAGTAAATTCAGTATAGTCAGAATTTTTACAAGATGTATAGGATCAGAGGGGGAGGGCATACACATCATTCTAGTTCGCTGGAAGTTTGATCTTCAGCTGGATCTAATTACAAGACAGTTTTGGAGAGCTCTTTTTCTCATCTCAACAGAGGAAATTTGCTGAGCAATGAGAGACCATGCCCCTTTGAACAGATGTACAAGTTCTTAAATTAGTGTCCGTCATGTAACACTGCAAACCATAATTAAGACTGCAACTGAGGGTATGTCTACACTTACCATTTAAAGTGCAAAAAGTCCCTTTTTTGCACTAAAACCACGGGAGCATCTACACTTGTTAATGCCTTTTTGCATTGAAACTCAGAAGTTTCACTGCAAAAACAAAATCACCTTCACGAGAGGCATACAGTTCTTACCACTGTTCTTTTTGCGCTGCTGTGAAAGTGAAGACACATTCTACTATTGTAAACCCCTTTTGACCTCCGAAGGATATCCCACAGTTCCAAAAGCGACCACTCTGTTCAGCACCTCCTCTGCTCTGACGCACAGACATCTGCCCCTTCCCTTGTAAGCCCTGGGACGTTTGAAGCTCCCTTTCCCTTAGTTTGTAGATGTGACGGGGAAAGCAGCCAGACAGCAGGAGATTTTTTAAAAAATGCCACAGAAGAAACAAGGAAGTAATGGGGCTGCTGGGACATGAAGCACGGCAGCACGGGACCCAGAATGCCTTCTGTTTGCACACCCCCCTTCCGACAAGACCTATTGAGAGAGCTGCATTGTGGGATAGCTGCCCTACAGCGCTGCTCTCATTGGCGATGGAAGTGCTGGTAGTGTAAACACTCTCTGACACCTGAGGAATTGAGTGAGTACACAAACCAGCGCTTTACTTTCACCAGTTCCCTATCACTGGTGAAACTTACAGCGCAAAAACTCTGTAAGTGTAGACATATCCTGACTGTGTTAAACCTGTCTGGGGGGCTTGTCCTTCTAAAAATCCACAAGGAACATAAACATTGGCAGGTTAAGTTCTCCCAGAAGTCTAACTTCTTGCTGTAGCAAACATCAGGAGAGGGAGCAGCAATCATGCATAGTTTACAGGACTCCCATAGTCAAGATGTAGTGCATGTCTCAGAGGAATAGTCAAATTTAAGCTCTAATTTTGAAAGCTAAGATATCAAAGGGCATTAGAAGGACTTTGCTCTGACAGGTCTGAGAGTGTGGAAAGAGCTTTTATAACTTTTGAAGTAACTGTCTAGAGCCTATCCTTGCAAAGACAGACTTCAAAGCGTAAACTAATCACTACAGAGTCATGTCGATGGAAAATGGAGACTTTTTTCAACCAAAAGTAAAGTTAATCAGACAAGCCATTTGTAAAATGAGCATCATTATTAAAAATAATTGTCAATACAGAAAGAAAATTCTTCTAATACGTTTTGCTGGACCTTAGTTTGAGAATAGAAAAATTAAAGTTATTGGATTTGTCTAATGACTTCACCTTTAATCCATTAAATGAGAGGACTTGGCTCTTGTTAGGATTGGGAATTTCAGGATAACAGCAATCCTTCACCCTAGAAAAACACAGACAAACAAGTAAACTTTGTTCTCTTCATTTGTCAACATTCATTCTCCCTTCACCTTTACAGCAGGGCTAAGATTCTTACAGAAATAAGTGGAGATGCCATGTACTATATACCACAGGAAGCCAAATATTCAGGGCATCCACTTACTAAGACGCTCAAAGAGAGAAATGAAGGAGGTATTATGAAGGGGGGTTAAATAGACAAACAACAACTCCATTTTGAATTAAAACAGACCATTTCTCTATTCACAGAAGGAAAATGTATTATAATGAACTTACCACTTGATTTTCCAGAAGCACACAGCAGTTATTACTACAAAAGGAATGATCACTAGCAGAACTGGAAGGTAAATCTTTGCTATGAAAGAAAAATAGTATTTCAAAAAACAGTTTTCTAACTTTCCCTTGTTTGAATCAATACAATTAGAGCTTCTGGGATAAAAGATCATCTTTAAATCAAGCATGGATGTCTTTCTAAAAGATCTGCTCTACCTCGACTACCTGTCACTAGAGCTGATAACGGAATCACTTGATGAAATTCTGTGCCCGGCGTTATGCAGAAGGTCAGACTAGATTATCATAATGGTCCCTTCTGGCCTGCAAATCTATAAGTGAACACATGTATTTTTTGGCATTTATTTTTATTGCCAAAAGTTCAGCTTTACCAGTCCTTTTATTTTTTAATTGCCTTTTACTTACAGACACCATCATTTTACCTGAGTTGATTTGCTAACTATCAAAGATTTCAAGGAGTAGCTATGTAAATAAATACCCTCCCGTTGGCTATGTCTTCACAGCAAAAAAAAAGGTGTGTTTTTATGCTGAGATTGCTATCTTGCAGTAAAACCCCAATGGAGACAAAGCATGGGTAGTTCTGACCTCGATGTAACTGCTCAAGTTCAGTCCCCATGTCCCTCTAGGAGTTACCTCAAGCAGCTACACTGAAGCAAAACCTGCCTGTGCCCTGTCTCCACTAGGGTGCTACACTGAAATGGTTACATCAATGTAAAAATTACATTTTTGGGTGTGGGGGGGTTGCACTGAAGACACTTACTTAGCAAAGCACTTAAACATCTCTAGTCCATCTATCCCTGTGCAAGAAAGAATTGCCGTAAATAGGACGTAAGGACATGCTTAACTGCTTTAGTTAATGGGGGCCAAAGGCCCCAATACTACAGTGTTCCAAGTGCCAAAGCAAGGGAGTTGAGGGAGCTCAGCACCAAACCGAAGTGAGTCCCCAGAGCTTAAGTGTCCACAACAGTTACCAACGGAGTCATGCAGTGGTGTAACGAAGAAGGAAATTGAGTTTTGATATTAAATTAACCAAGGGGGGACAGAAGGGATGGCTTCTCTTGGGACATTTTTAAGTGTTAATTTATGGATTTTTATTTTACTTCTCACTGGTTTTGGTTAGGAGACCTTGCTTTTACATACAATTCACTAGCTGTCGGGGAGGGTCTAGGCACTGAGGTGTAATGGTAGTGCATGCTGCTCCGTGTAAAATGTACGGCTCTCATGCACTAATCCACTCTCCACCTCTTCTGAGGACAAAGCTGGGGAGTTTCAGCTTGGGAACACAAGACCCAAGAGTGAGATTCTGGTGTGATATCTTCAAGCGAACAGAATTACAGATAAGTAATTAATTACTTTTGTTTTTCTGGATGTCTAATTTGGCCACAGTTAGTGAGCATGATTCTAATGCAGCAACCCTTCTTTGGTCACATCTAGCATGGAATGCAAGAGTTGGTGGATTTGTAAGCCAGTTTTTCATACAAATCAGTGTTAGGAAGTCTAGAGCTCTTATTTGCACAAAAATTAGCTACATGGTCATGAAAGCAACAGCCAATATATGCTAAGTTTTATATTCTTCTATAGTTTATAAAATTAGCTGGAACTAAATAAAATTCCTCTCTAATATTTGGAGAAGAGGACCAGGAGTCAGCATTCCTGGGTTCTCGTTTCAACTCTGTCACTGGTTCCATTCTGTAAATGAGCCTCAGTGTTGCTATCTGCAAAGTGGGTATAAATTTGCTTAGCTACCTTACAGGGGGATTATGAGGTTTAAATAACATGGTAAAATGCTTTAAATATGCGGCAATGTTTCTAGGGTGAAAGGAGCTATTCAAGTACTATAACATTTAATTTGGCAATTAGTATTATTTGACTGCATCCATTAATAAATCTTCGAACTGGGATCCTTCTCAAATCCATTCATCTCTACCTAATCTTTTTAGAAAACAAGCCAGCAGTGACAGGTGCTAATTTCCCTTCTTGCCCCCCTCCTCTGCTGGCTCCTCCAAATCATATTTTCATTTTCTAAACTCACAGTCATGTAGTGTATCTACGTTTATATAGGCATCAATGGGGGTCTCTCCTCCTCCAGTGTAAGCTTTAACTGCCAGTGCATATGTTGTTTCTGGCATCAGGTGTTTCACCACGTATCTCTTTTCTTCTGGGTTTTCTATAGTGTATTTACATAGGACTGAACCATCTATAATCAAAGGAGATGTTACAAACCATTACTCTCAATTGTTTTTTAATATGCATTGCCTTTCAGGAAGGGGGATATGCTTTAGCTCAGTGGTTCTCAGATTTATTTGATCGCGTCCCCGTTCTTTGTGTCTGTAGTCCTTTACGTCCTCCCAGCTCCTGCCACACAAATACACATGCTGCTGCCCAGCTCTGAAGGCAGAGCAGAGAATGGCAGCTGCTGGCCAGGCGCACAGCTCTGAAGGCAGCGCTGCCGCGAGCAGCAGCAGAGAAGTAAGGGTGGCACATTGCTCCCTGGAAGCCTCCCAGCTTGAAGGCAGAGCGGCTTCTCATACCCCCACAGAATACATTCCTTTGAGAATCTCTGCTCTACCTCATTACTGCTGGGTTGGATGGCGCCTCTTCTGATTGGACTGGAGATAGCAGCAGCAGTGTGTCTCAGAGAGCCAATCCAATAGGGGACCAGCCACCAACTTCCTGTCAGAAGTCTCTGCTCCTGCCAAGCTACAAACTCTGTTTCCACTTCCACAATTCACTTACCTTTTGCTAGTAGCTTTTCAGCAGGTTTTGTTTTCTTGGTCTGCCTCTGTCCATTTCTTCTCTCTGCACCCTCCATCCCCCACCCCGCAACACCTTACTGGTAGCTGAGAGGCAGAAATGCGTTCAATACAAAGGACACAGAGAAACCAGGGCTAGCAATCTGTTCCCACTTCAAGTGTTTCTTAGCCACATCCTTCATCCTTCCCAGCCTCGATGCCGGTTCTGCCTGAGATAACAACCCCCCTGCCCCAGCCCCAATCAGTACCTCAGATGGGGAGGTGGTTGGGCTTTGCTCTTACACCCTTCCCGGGTGGGAATATTTGCAAGTATGTACAGTTACAGTAGTGCCAACTGTTACACAGTTAATCTTATTCTGACAGGATGTTGGTGGGCAGGCCCCTGACAGCCCAGGGTCACACAGACACACAGCTTTACCTGACACCAGTCCCCTCAGAAGAGGGGAATGGACCTACAGATGGTGAATCAGGACACGGTCCATGTTGGAGAAGAGAAATCAACAGGTAAGAATAAACAATTTTTTTTGCATTCAGTGGGAGGGTCTGAGAATTTGGCTGCACTGAAATTTTGTCATCTCGAGTAGAGTTCAATGTGAGACAAGAAAATCAGAGACGATATGCCAAGTAGCTCCATGCTGCAAATGCTTAACACAGTCCCCAGGTCAGCTTCACCACTAGACAAACAGGCTGTGTAGAGCAGAGCTACGCACATCTTCATTTAATGGAATAAATGGGGAATTTTCACAGAGCCACAACCCTAAAGCTATGAAAACATCAGCACACAAATCAGACCCAACTACCTCTAAAAAATCCCCACTGTCATAATAAAACTGATAGCAGCTTCTTTGTCTATCTTCCAAAAAGAGAATGAGTGGGAATTTTGAAAACTCTGCCAGAGCTCAGTTCATCAGAGATGAAAACTCAGTGACACACAGGGAGCTGATACTGCAGCCATTCCACCTGTGAAGTGCACTTTGAAGTCAATGGAAGCTCCCTGCATAATGGCCTACAAAATGGGGCCCTATGTAATCTTCTGTATATTGGTAGAGTCCTGCTTCTGTCAATTAAAAGCACTCTACACTCAGTTCTTGGAGAGAAGGCAACAGCTACCTCACTTTAGAGATCAACATCATTCCATTTATTCCCCAGTGTGTTTGTTTATCTGCCTAACATGTACATGTGAGGAACTTTTCAGGAGGCTCCAATTTATTGATCTCCTGAGCAAAAAATCTGCAGCTTTTCACACATTTCAGCATGTGATGGATTGATGGGTGTACAGCTTTCTGGGTTCAAAGAATCAATTACCTGAAAGAGCATGTTTTGCTGATCCCTTCAAACTGCATTCTTCTTCCATGGTTTTCACATAAACATGATAACCTCTTATGAATCCAGGCTGTGACTCATTTACGGGATAAGAATCCCAAGTTACGGTCACAGTATGGGAGGTCATCTCAGCTATTTCCCCTTGAGGGTTAAGTCTAGGAGCTGGAAGGAAGGAAATTGACAAACATGTTTGATTTCTAGAAAGTTTATCTCCCCACTTGGCATTGCTCCTGAATTCCCATCTGTTGCCTCTTGTTAAATTTGCGTTGTTTATAAACTGAACATCACTGATTTTCAAATAAAAACTGAACTAAGCCTGTTCTTCCTGAAAGCCTCCTGGTACCACAGAACACCTGTGGACCCATCTACGTCATGCACAGAAACAACTGTTTAATCATAGGTTTCAGAGTAACAGCCGTGTTAGTCTGTATTCGCAAAAAGAAAAGGAGTACTTGTGGCACCTTAGAGACTAACCAATTTATTTGAGCATGAGCTTTCGTGAGCTACAGCTCACTTCATCGGATGCATACCGTGGAAACTGCAGCAGACTTTATATATACACAGAGAATATGAAACAATACCTCCTCCCACCCCACTGTCCCGCTGGTAATAGCTTATCTAAAGTGATCATCAGGTGGGCCATTTCCAGCACAAATCCAGGTTTTCTCACCCTCCACCCCCCCACACAAATTCACTCTCCTGCTGGTGCTAGCCCATCCAAAGTGACAACTCTTTACATAATCAAGTCGGGCTATTTCCTGCACAAATCCAGGTTTTCTCACATCCCCCCCACCCCCATACACACACAAACTCACTCTCCTGCTGGCAATAGCTCATCCAAACTGACCACTCTCCAAGTTTAAATCCAAGTTAAACCAGAACATCTGGGGGGGGGGGGGGTAGGAAAAAACAAGAGGAAACAGGCTACCTTGCATAATGACTTAGCCACTCCCAGTCTCTATTTAAGCCTAAATTAATAGTATCCAATTTGCAAATGAATTCCAATTCAGCAGTTTCTCGCTGGAGTCTGGATTTGAAGTTTTTTTGTTTTAAGATATGCTAATGTAGTTATAGCTCAGTTTTCCTGACTGGTGTGGACTCTTGTTTTCCTGACATCTGTACTAACCAAACTGCCTCATAGCAGTCACCAGAGGCCATTTTGTAGTGTTTTATTAAATATATGCAATGGGAATGGGGGAAGCAATATTGTGTATGTCAAACATTGCTTGTAGTTAGTGCAAGGAGGCAGAGAAAAGACAGTACAGCTACAGAACTCCCCTTTATTTTCATGAGCCCCATTTAGCAAATATGTACACATGTAAAATATTTTCAGCTTACCCAGTTCTTTGGTATACCCAACCTTCTTCCCCAGGAAAAAATCTTCATTAGCTAGAGATCCATAAACCCTGAAGTTGTATCTGACCCCAGGCATGAAAGCAGCTAGAAAATAATAAAGCCATTTTTAAAAAATTAAGCTTCAGTAGTTTTAGGTAACAAAATGGAACCACATTTGATTTATATGGAGCTCTATAATTCATTAAAAATCCTGATCTTGCACCACTGAAGTTGCCAAAAGGAGGCCCTAGAAAACACAGCTCTTACTTAGTGCTGGTAAGACAACTGGAGGTGTTTAAACCAAATCCCAGCTAACCCTAGTAATGTTGACCACCTGTTTGTGGTGTTTGATCAAAATAGTAAACAAAACAATACCACAGATGGTCCTGATGGACAAACACCTGTCAGCAATGGTCTTTACTTGGTCCTGCCTCAGTGCAGGGGGCTGGACTTTATGACCTCTCAAGGTCCTTGCCCAACCCTACCTGTCTATGATTCTGTGAAAGAAAAAACTGACACACTGGGCAGTTGTTAGATTTTAATAGAGTTCCCAGAATCTGTTTCCTAAAATTCAGGTGCATGCCACTCAATGCCCTAACAAAGAGTTGCAGCATAAACATCTTAATAAAGAATTGTTCTGCTTTCACCTGACTTGATAAAACAACTGGAGGTGTTGAAATCGAATCTCTTCCACTGAAAGTCACAATGCTGGGACCTCGGAAAGTTGCACCAATCGACAATGTATCCATCAAATGCATTTGTGGCCTTCCAAGAAATATAAATGCCATCAACTGTGCCATTAACTCTTTCTTCTTCAAGGTCAGTGCGATCAACCTTTTCTTCAGCACCTTGGAAAGAATGGACTAAAGCACTTCACAAAATAGTATATTTATCATCTATCTATAATATATGTTTTCTAGCAGGAAGACCTATACTTTAGGTCTAATTAAGATTGGTAGAATTACTATGCTAGTATTCGCAAAAAGAAAAGGAGTACTTGTGGCACCTTAGAGACTAACCAATTTATTTGAGCATGAGCTTTTGTGAGCTACAGCTCACTTCATAGGATGCTAGTATTGCCATTACTATACCTGATGACTGGATACCGGTAAAACTGCAGATTTTGTCTTTTCAATAATGTTTCATCATTACGAAATACTCGCCCCCAATAGGGAAAGGACCCTGAAAGTTGATCCCTACCACTAAGAGGCTAATCACTCAAATACCTTGTAGTTGGTTAACATCAGTTAACATCAAAATTTGTAACATCAGGAACTGAACTGCAGGCTCACAAAACTGGAGCCTGAAATAATAGGTCACTAGACCCTGATTCTGCAATGAGTTCTGTGTGAGTGGGATCCTTGCATCCATATGCAAATGCAGGACAGAGGACCTTGTTGGTTAAACCTATATGTATTTTGCTCACTGGGATAACCCCATGAATGTACCATATTATATTTGTGAAAAAACCCAGGTGGGTAGAGAATGGGGAATATATAAAGATACATATACTGCTATTATCTTACAGACTAAGTGATCTCCATTGATAGAAGGAAGTAGTTTTTAAACACATCAGTGGCAAACAGTCATTTTAATTCCAAGACTAGATTAATTATTCCATGATGATAAATAAAATATTACTGACTGTAAAATAACTATACAAGATAAGCGCCCTCAAAAGTTATTTTAATTGGATTGAAGATACACAAACCATTATCTGTCGCTCGGGAGATGATCATCACTGAAGGAAGTGAAGAATTAATATTGTTCCTTGCTGCCACGCTGATTTTGTAGGAATGGTTATCGATGGAAATTGTTGTACTGTTTTGTAATGCAGAAATGGAGATGTGTTCAAGTTCAGAGGCTTTCTTTAACTTTTCCCAGGTTATCTCAAATGAAATATCTCCACCATTAGCTCTAAAGTCTGGTAATGGCTGGGGAAAAAAATGGAAAATATTTCAAGACCTATTTAATCTGCAGCTAAATTTACACTACTACAAATTGTATTTGGCATGATTCTTATAGTAGAAGCTTTTAAGGGTACGAAGGATACTGTACTTGTGATATTCTGTTTTACAGAAAAAAGAAAATTGGTTTTCACTTGATGGATGACATTAAACAAATGACAGAATTATTTCTACTTAACCCGTAAGTATATAGAAATATTTTTTTAAGTGACTGGGAGTTTTGAAATAAGGCAACCTGAAGGTTTTGTGTATGTTGTTTCCTATTTGTGCTCACTGAATGGACAATTTAAAAAAAGTAGGCTTTCATTCACTTTTTAAAAAACATTTTGGCACCCAAACTACATTTTCTTGGGGAGAAATGCAGGTTCCACTAAAAGAAAAAAAAAAAGCAACATATGGTCCAAATCCATGGCTTGAACAAAAATCCAGACTCTCTCAGCACCAGTGTAAGCAGTGTGGTGATTATGGTTTCCATTGTCACAAGAGCCACACATCATAATGGAAAACTAAAATGAGAGAGAAATCTTGCACCCTGCCAGGAAAAATACCCCAGATACTGTGCCGGTCATTTCTGTAAACTTTCTTAACCATTTCTGTGCCCAGACTCACCTTCCAGAATAAGGTCACATTCCGTCCTCCCAAAACTGGGGTAACTTCTCTCCAGACATCAAGTTTCCCTGAGGGAGCTGTGATCAATCACATAAAACAAAGCTGTTGTATATTGGGAAGGGTGAACTGTCCAAACCTTTGCTAATATTTGTTAAGGAGACCATCCCACCTGCAACTCAGCTAGACCTCAAAACTCACCGACCCTGTGCCTCCATACCAAAAACTACTCCTGGCTCATTCCGTGCCGAGCCCCACTTCCCCTCCCTCCCCAACACACATGGATGTTCCCACCACTGAATGATGCCTCCACACACAAAACGCACAGCAACTACTATGCCCATTCAGTGGTCCAGCTGCACCCACTTCATATCTCACCAATTCTGATTCATCTGGTGCATTCTGGGCTCTATCAAGTACCACAACTTCAGATTTAAAGCGGTGGAGACTTAGGAGGTTGACAGATTCCAGACAAACAGAACCTTTTAAAGATGTGGTATGCCAACAGTCAGGGGAGGCATAAGAAGAGGGGGTTACAGGGAGGAGGGAGCCAAGGCAGAGGTACCATAGAAGATAGCTGAAGATATGCTGGGAGTTGCAGAGGGAAGAAGAGGAGCTGGCCAGCACGTCTCACTGATCAGGGAAAAAAGTGATGGGATTGAGTTTGGCACAAGGTTCAGATAATGCACCTGGAGTTCTGAAACCTTATCTGGTTTCACCCAAAGCTCGAGTTTCACCGATCAGTCTGTTCTGTGCACATGTATGCTGTCATAAATATAAAGGGAAGGGTAAATCCCTTTGAAATCCCTCCTGGCCAGGGGAAAGCTCCTCTCACCTGTAAAGGGTTAAGAAGCTAAAGGTAACCTCGCTGGCACCTGACCAAAATGACCAATGAGGAGACAAGATACTTTCAAAAGCTGGGAGGAGGGACTGAAACAAAGGGTCTGTGGGTCTGTCTATATTCTGTCTTTGTCGGGGATAGACCAGGATTGGAGTCTTAGAACTTTTAGTAAGTAATCTAGCTAGGTACGTGTTAGATTATGACTTCTTTAAATGGCTGAGAAAAGAACTGTGCTGAATAGAATAACTATTTCTGTCTGTGTATCTTTTTTGTAACTTAAGGTTTTGCCTAGAGGGGTTCTCTATGTTTTTGAATCTAATTACCCTGTAAGGTATCTACCATCCGGATTTTACAGGGGGGATTTCTTTATTTCTATTTACTTCTATTTTTATTAAAAGTCTTCTTGTAAGAAAACTGAATGCTTTTTCATTGTTCTCAGATCCAAGGGTTTGGGTCTGTGGTCACCTATGCAAATTGGTGAGGCTTTTTATCCAACATTTCCCAGGAAAGGGGGGGTACAAGTGTTGGGAGGATTGTTCATTGTTCTTAAGATCCAAGGGTCTGGGTCTGTAGTCACCTAGGCAAATTGGTGAGGCTTTTTACCAAACATTGTCCAGGAAGTGGGGTGCAAGGTTTTGGGAAGTATTTTGGGGGGAAAGACGCGTCCAAACAGCTCTTCCCCAGTAACCAGTATTAGTTTGGTGGTGGTAGCGGCCAATCCAAGGACAAAGGGTGGAATATTTTGTACCTTGGGGAAGTTTTGACCTAAGCTGGTAAAGATAAGCTTAGGAGGTTTTTCATGCAGGTCCCCACATCTGTACCCTAGAGTTCAGAGTGGGGGAGGAACCTTGACATATGCGCATATTTTAAAATGGTTTTGACCCAATACCTGCAGCTCTTAGGCTTGCAGCCCCATACACCAAAAACAACGAGCTTTCTGGTATTTCCAGACATCAGTCTGGCAGATGGCGAACAGCAACTTGAAGAGCAAGTTTCAGCTGCAAACCCCTCCCTCCCCCCACCCCATTTCCCAATGGATTGAACTCACCTGCTTCATTTGTTCTGACTCTGAGGGTTTTGCTCCATTCACTCCATTTCCAGAAGTGGCTAGCTGCACCACAGCGCATTCTAAAGGTGTAATAGGTGAAAGGCTGCAAGCCACCTAGGGTGAGGTGTGGATATGAATTTGACTGAACAGGTGAACTATTGTGCTGCAAAAGCAAAGGAGAAATGTGACGTGGTTAGGGTTCAGACATCTTTCATGAGAAAGAGGTTTTTGGCTAAGATTCGGGAAGTCATTTTGTCCCCTGCTTCAACCAACAGCACGTTTATTACATCTGCCTTGTCAGGTTTGACCCAATGCAGAAAATTATGTGGAAACATGCTGGAAAAGTCAGAGAAGGTCCAAATACATGGACATATGGGAGGCGCACAGAGAGCTCTATTAACCCCTTTGGCCAATGCTGTTGACAGGATCCCTTCATGTTGGTCTGCCAAAATTGCTACTTAATTTTTTATCTATGTAGGTTGAAAAAGGTGTAATTAGTGAGCCTTTCTCTCCCACTTCTGCCTGTGGTGCTTCTGTTGTTGTCCATATGCCCCTTTCTTTTATCATATATTTAAAATATCTAAAACTTAAATTTAAAATATTTAAAACATGGACCTCCTTACTAGGATCAGGTAAATAGGATGCTGTTCTGGACACGTACATACCATTGGGATATTAGCATACACATGTTCCACATTGGACCCTCCCTTTGGGTGTCCCCACAACTTGCTACCATCCTCAAAAGGATTAGGATGAACTCTGCAACTCTGCCCAAGATAAAGTGGGTATGTCGTAGGGACCCCATGTTTTGTATAGTCCCCTCCTCTAAACGATCATCTGTGATGATCTCCTGCAGCTGGCACACTTGAGGCAGAACATCCACTGGGAGGTCTCCAGGGAGGCCTGTCCATGTACACTTCCTACAAAAGTGGAGCACTCCTGCTTGTGCTTTAGTTAGAGAAGCAAGGTGGGTGAGGTAATATTTTTTTATTGGACCAACTTCTCTTCGGTGAGAGAGACAGGCTTTCAAGCTTACTTGTCCTGTAATACTCTGGAGATGAGCTGCCCCTGTGTGGACTGGACCACAGGGAAACCTAGATGAACTTGTGAAGAACAGGCGAGCTGAACACTCACTAAAGTATGTGGAACAAGGTTATGGACTCTGCTGCAACCTTCCTCCCCCTCCAGGAAGCTATATGTTCACACAGGTCTTTACGGACATCAGCTATACTACATGCTGTAGCTGCACAGACACCAAGCTGTAATTCAGGACATTCTGCCCCCTCCACATCAGCCTCTACCACTGGAACTGACGCTGAAATCTCCATTAGCTCCAGTAATATTAGAGCTTATAAGGCCTCCTGCCAGTACATGGTAGCAAGCTCTTACACACTGCAGCAAGTCTAGCATTCTATCCAACAGAGGGCAGTAATGTATATGCAGACTAGTCTGCATAATACATCTGGAAGTCTAAATGCCAACTGCAACAGTTCTTTGGTCACAGTGACATCACAGTCATCAGCAGTACTCTGATGGAGTTGACTCTGACATAGCCTGATGGTTTTCAGCTCCTCAAGCTTTCACATGGCCAAGCCTGAGCAATTTATTTTCCTTCCTAAGCTTTCTGCATTCTCTCCTTTCACCATTGCTATTCACACAGCCATTTTTTCCTGTGTCTCAGGCTCACAAGCTAGAGGGCATCTGTGATTCCTTCCTTTCCTGCTCCTCATCCAACCAGGTTGTCACTAAATCTTGTTGCTATTTCCTCCACAACATTTTAAAAACACTTGTCCATGGCCCGATTCCCTTCCCACCACCGAGACACATGCACCTTCCTCACCTGAAGCCTCGATTATTGCTTCTCCCAAGATTTCCAGTGACTGGAAAGTGAAAGTTCAAATTGGAAACAAATGCCCATTTTTAAGTGAAGGTTATTAACAACTGGGACAGCTTGCCTGCTGATGTCTTTCTACAAGTTTTGTTCTTGTTTAACCATGTTGGGCTAGATGCAGAAATCATTGGGTGAAATTCTATGGCCTGTGTTATGCACAAGGTCAGACTAGATGACAACAGCGGTCCATTTTGACTTTAAATATCTATTAATTATGCAACTGCTACGATTCTCTTCCTCACTTGCTCAGACCACATCACTCACTACTAAAGTCTCTCCATTGGCTCTGTCCCAACCTAGCTCTTGAATTTCATCTCTCATCAGATCTCTTTTGCTGCTCCTACAGAGACTCAATAATTTGTATGTTCTCAGTGGCCTTTGCAGTGGTGGTGTAGCCATGCTGGTGGCAGGATATGAGACAAACAAGGCAGGGGAGATAACATCTATTGGTGGTGTGATACTCTGATTATCTTCTCTAGACATGAGGAAGAGCTCTGCGAAGCCTGAAAATTTGTCCCTTCTACCAACAGAAGTTGATCTAATAAAATATATGGACCTCACCCACCTTGCCTCTCACAATAGCTTTGTCTCTCACCTGGTCTCCACCAACACTGACAGCCTCAAAGACCTGAACATTTCTCCTAGAATGTGATTCCATCACACATATTGTGCACGTTTGGCATTCCACCTACTAAGGGCCAGTGATTCACCCACCCACTACCGATGGCATTAAAAACCATGATACAAATATACTATACTCCATACCCCAAAACCCCAGTTGCTTGTTTAGACTGAAACTTAAGTTTCTTACCAGTTCCACTTGCCCACTTGGGTGGCGATTTTCAATCTGACATAGCAGCTTAATTGCTTTGTACTTGGGCTGCATACGCCAGTATAAACTGACTTCTGTGGCTTTCATATGTTCCACAGAAAGGTCAGAGGGGGGATATGGATGAACTGCCAAAGGGAAAGATAAGTTAGATTCTGAAAAACTTGAATTCAAGAACTTTCAAAATGTTCTCATTGAGCAATGAAAGTGAATACGAGGCTTAGTCTAGGATTTCCTCATTACATCTCTCCCAGTGGGATTCCAGGCAGAGAGACATATGTATTAGTAAAAATAAGTGATGCTTTTAGAAATTGAGTCTTTTATTGTTTATCTACTTCTCTAGTGGGGCTCTGCATCCCAGAAGTAGTTCACTGGACTTGGAGCCAAAGACCTGCAGTTCTATTCACCACTCTTCTATTGACTGAATGTGAGCAGATCAATTAAACTTTCTGTGGCTCAGCTTCTGCATCCAAAAAAAGGGCCTACTTCTATTCATCTTCCCTTGTTAAAGTCCTTTGAGATCCTCAGATGATATGTGCTCTATAAGCAGTATTAGGCTAGATGGTGTCCAAATCTGACCCTTGAATGCTTCCATTATTGATACTGCAGAGCTACAATATAGGGTGTAAATTTTGTTTTGCTTTATTTGCTAATGTTTTTTAAATCCGCAAAAAATCTACAGCAAATATCTGTAGCAATAGAAAAATGGCAAGACTTGCCTAAAAAGACTGGTTAGAAGAGCACTCAAGCTTTATGCCATCAGAAAGAGACAGCTAGTATTGTTACAAGAAGCACCCACAATTCCTAGAACTGAAAGCAGTTGGAGAAAGAAACTCATTTTCTTGTGTTTTCAGTGTGTTTCCTTTATGCATTTGAAAGCATTTTGTGTACAGTCAATTTTTCTGCTTCACTTATGGTAAATTGCTCTTCTTGTCTCATGCACTAGCATGTTGGTACTCCTGTCATCCACTGCTCCTGGGGGGCATATGCCCACTCCCTCAGGCGCTGTAATAATGCGTTTACCACTCAAATGCCAATCATTATGAGGGAATCATTCATTCTAGTGCCAAAATCATGTCCATCCCACACAAATTTGGTGTCCTCTCCCTTTTGTTCTTGAAGATTTACATCAGAAACGTGTAATTGTGAAACTGTGGTGTCAAAGTTCTGTACAACAAAGGAATGATCCCACAGCACTTCGTTTCCTGAGTGGCTCCTTTTTTTGTGCCTCTCATTTAGGCCCTTTGTTGCATATCACTCCCCACATTTGGACATTTGGCAGATTCTGAGGCCACAAAAGGGATCATTTTGATCACTTAGCTCTCAACCTGGAGATCGGATTGTGTTCATCAGTAACAGCAGCTGCAAAACTGAAACTGAAGAGGGAGCAGGCAAGTGTGGGCACAGAGAAGATGGGAATCAGGGCAAGCTGGGAAGGAAAAATCATTTATCTTTAAATCTGAGAGGTTTTCAGACAATACTGCCCCATAGAGAAATAGGACAGGCGGCCCCAGAATGTTTCATGGTGGTGATCTTCAGCCTACCCAAAAGACCCTTCAAAACATCAACAAGGAGCAGAAAAACCCTTACCTCTGTGAGCTACATCAAGGACAAAATTAGCACTTCTCTTTCCAAGAGGGTTTTGGGCAGTCAGTGTTAGGTTGTATATCATCTGCTGGTCTATAGCCCAAGAACAATGGATGGGTTCTAGATAGTGTGCTGTTTCTTGGTAGCAAAATGTTTTTTGGGAAAACCTTTCAAGAGAGAGGAAAAAGTCATTGGTTTATTTTTCTTTGGTTTAAAATCATAGATGCTGCAGAAGCGCAATAATGGATTCAGAAACTGTGATGCCTACCTAGAACAGAACTAAAACTTAAATAAAAATACAGTTGTTGTATGTGCATAATTCTCTATCAACAAATGTAACAGAAATAGTAATTTCTATTATATTTTAAAAGAACTGTGGTATAAAGGAGGGTACCCAGGAGTGGTTTATTTGAAAAGCAAAAGGCTTTCAGAAGTTGGTAAGCAACTGTGGCTGATTATCTAATGAGGTTGTTTAGGTGATCTAATACTTCTATCTTGTTTCATGGGCTGACTGTTCATGCCACTCAGTATTCTGCAGGAGATCTGTGGGGATGGAGAATTGGATGAATTCCCCATGTTCTTGCTGTTGACCACAGAAAACTTCCATGGGAGTTAAATGCTAAAATTCTGACCAATTTTAGAATTGGTCTTGCACTTCTGCACTTGTGCAAGACGGTTCAGTACAGCCCATAAGTATTTTCAGTACTGTTGGCTTTTCAGCAGAGGTTAAGCTGTTATACTGAATGGATTGAACTCACATGCACAAAGTTACTCATGTCTATAGCTGTTTGTAGGATCCAGGCCATAGAACACTGATGCTTTCCAGACTGTCCAACAACTGTGTGTGTGTGTGGGGGGGGGCATGGCATAGGCATAGTTTGACTGCTATTTTGTGGGGGAGGTACGGCATGCACACTGAAGCCAGTTCCCCTGGTTCACTGTCTCTTTCCCCCATCTGGAGTGATACCTAGGCTGCCAGTGCTGGGGGGGAGAAGGACCGGCTTAATGGGGGAGCACCATCTGCTGCATGTGACCCTGGGTGCCCCCACATGCCTCGCCTCTGTTTGGGGGGAAATGCTGCCCAAACTACACCTATGGGGAGGGTGGGTATGGGATGTGGGGGGGAAAGGGGCTGGGATGAGTTTGTGCAAGTAAATGTGTGTAGTCTCTAAACAAAAATTAATTAGCAATGCCTAATCTTAGGCAGGGCTAGAAGGGGGAAAATTAGTGTGGCTCACTCTGAGAACAGATCTGGGCTTCTGGGCTGTCTGACTACAACAAGATGGTCCTGGTGATGTCAAGGAACTATGACGTGATCGGAATAACAGAGACTTGGTGGGATAACTCACATGACTGGAGTACTGTCATGAATGGTTATAAACTGTTCAGGAAGGACAGGCAGGGCAGAAAAGGTGGGGGAGTAGCACTGTATGTAGGGGAGCAGTATGACTGCTCAGAGCTCCGGTACGAAACTGCAGAAAAACCTGAGTGTCTCTGGATTAAGTTTAGAAGTGTGTGCAACAAGAGTGATGTAGTGGTGGGAGTCTGCTATAGACCACCGGACCAGGGGGATGAGGTAGATGAGGCTTTCTTCCGGCAGCTCACGGAAGCTACTAGATCGCATGCCCTGATTCTCATGGGTGACTTTAATTTTCCTGATATCTGCTGGGAGAGCAATACAGCGGTGCATAGACAATCCAGGAAGTTTTTGGAAAGCGTAGGGGACAATTTCCTGGCGCAAGTGCTAGAGGAGCCAACTAGAGGGGGCGCTTTTCTTGACCTGCTGCTCACAAACCGGGTAGAATTAGTGGGGGAAGCAAAAGTGGATGGGAATCTGGGAGGCAGTGACCATGAGTTGGTTGAGTTCAGGATCCTGACGCAGGGAAGAAAGGTAAGCAGCAGGATATGAACCCTGGACTTCAGGAAAGCAGACTTCGACTCCCTCAGGGAACGGATGGCCAGGATCCCCTGGGGGACTAACTTGAAGGGGAAAGGAGTCCAGGAGAGCTGGCTGTATTTCAAGGAACCCTTGTTGAGGTTACAGGGACAAACCATCCCGATGAGTCGAAAGAATAGTAAATATGGCAGGCGACCAGCTTGGCTTAATGGTGAAATCCTAGCGGATCTTAAACATAAAAAAGAGGCTTACAAGAAGTGGAAGGTTGGACATATGACCAGGGAAGAGTATAAAAATATTGCTCGGGCATGTAGGAATGATATCAGGAGGGCCAAATCGCACCTGGAGCTGCAGCTAGCCAGAGATGTCAAGAGTAACAAGAAGGGTTTCTTCAGGTATGTTGGCAACAAGAAGAAAGCCAAGGAAAGTGTGGGCCCCTTACTGAATGAGGGAGGCAACCTAGTGACAGAGGATGTGGAAAAAGCTAATGTACTCAATGCTTTTTTTGCCTCTGTTTTCACTAACAAGGTCAGCTCCCAGACTGCTGCGCTGGGCATCGCAAAATGGGGAAGAGATGGCCAGCCCTCTGTGGAGATAGAGGTGGTTAGGGACTATTTAGAAAAGCTGGACGTGCACAAGTCCATGGGGCCGGACGAGTTGCATCCGAGAGTGCTGAAGGAATTGGCGGCTGTGATTGCAGAGCCATTGGCCATTATCTTTGAAAACTCGTGGCGAACCGGGGAAGTCCCGGATGACTGGAAAAAGGCTAATGTAGTGCCAATCTTTAAAAAAGGGAAGAAGGAGGATCCAGGGAGCTACAGGCCAGTCAGCCTCACCTCAGTCCCTGGAAAAATCATGGAGCAGAATCAATCCTGAAGCACTTGCATGAGAGGAAGGTGATCAGGAACAGCCAGCATGGATTCACCAAGGGAAGGTCATGCCTGACTAATCTAATCGCCTTTTATGATGAGATTACTGGTTCTGTGGATGAAGGGAAAGCAGTGGATGTATTGTTTCTTGACTTTAGCAAAGCTTTTGACACGGTCTCCCACAGTATTCTTGTCAGCAAGTTAAGGAAGTATGGGCTGGAAGAATGCACTATAAGGTGGGTAGAAAGCTGGCTAGATTGTCGGGCTCAACAGGTAGTTATCAATGGCTCCATGTCTAGTTGGCAGCCGGTATCAAGTGGAGTGCCCCAAGGGTCAGTCCTGGGGCCGGTTTTGTTCAATATCTTCATAAATGATCTGGAGGATGGTGTGGATTGCACTCTCAGCAAATTTGCGGATGATACTAAACTGGAGGAGTGGTAGATACGCTGGAGGGGAGGGATAGGATACAGAAGGACCTAGACAAATTGGAGGATTGGGCCAAAAGAAATCTGATGAGGTTCAATAAGGATAAGTGCAGGGTCCTGCACTTAGGACGGAAGAACCCAATGCACAGCTACAGACTAGGGACCGAATGGCTAGGCAGCAGTTCTGCGGAAAAGGACCTAGGGGTGACAGTGGACGAGAAGCTGGATATGAGTCAGCAGTGTGCCCTTGTTGCCAAGAAGGCCAATGGCATTTTGGGATGTATAAGTAGGGGCATAGCGAGCAGATCAAGGGACGTGATCGTCCCCCTCTATTCGACATTGGTGAGGCCTCATCTGGAGTACTGTGTCCAGTTTTGGGCCCCACACTACAAGAAGGATGTGGATAAATTGGAGAGTCCAGCAAAGGGCAACAAAAATGATTAGGGGTCTGGAACACATGACTTATGAGGAGAGGCTGAGGGAGCTGGGATTGTTTAGCCTGCAGAAGAGAAGAATGAGGGGGGATTTGATAGCTGCTTTCAACTACCTGAAAGGGGGTTCCAAAGAGGATGGATCTAGACTGTTCTCAATGGTAGCAGATGACAGAACGAGGAGTAATGGTCTCAAGTTGCAGTGGGGGAGGTTTAGATTGGATATTAGGAAAAACTTTTTCACTAAGAGAGTGGTGAAACACTGGAATGCGTTACCTAGGGAGGTGGTAGAATCTCCTTCCTTAGAGGTTTTTAAGGTCAGGCTTGACAAAGCCCTGGCTGGGATGATTTAACTGGGAATTGGTCCTGCTTCGAGCAGGGGGTTGGACTAGATGACCTTCTGGGGTCCCTTCCAACCCTTATATTCTATGATTCTATGGTGGGAACAGAATGAGCCATCCAGCCCTTTTGACAACAAAATAGTGAGTAACAGAGAATATATTTCGAGGACTCACTTGGACACTCAAAAAGCTTTGACAAAGCCTCTCACAAGAAACTATTAAAGAAAATTAGTCAGTCCTGGTTAAAGAGGTAATTTATTAGTGTGATGGATCAGAAACTGGTGAGGAGACAAAACGAAGAGTGAGGCTAGTTGGTCAGTTTTCAACATGAGAAAGTGTTAATGGTGGGTGCTCCAAAGTCCTGGGCTGTTAAATCTTTGTTGTTTGAATGTATTGCTTAATGATCTGGAAAAGGGTGCAACTTCTTATAGCAAACAGAGAAAAATACTTTAATAGATTGTAAATAATAGATTCCAAGGGCAGAAGGGACCGTTGGATCATCTCGTCTGACCTCCTGTATAGTGCAGACCATAGAACTAATTTAATCAGTTGAGAAAACTTACCTTTCAAACAAGTGGTATTTTGTTGAATGAGCCCCATAAAGATAGGTATTTTTTCCTGGATTCCAAGTACAAGTTAATGTCTTAATGTCCCGAGTGTCACAGGAAATATCTTCAGGCTCATAAGGTGGTTCTTGTAATTAAAACCAAGGAGAAGATCAACATGACAAACTAACGATTAACATGTACAAAGCCTGGCTGACTACAGACATTATTATTTCAATTGCACTCATACAAAGACAGCCTCAGAGAAGAAAGCAGACTAAAATGTACTGTACTCTGAAAGATCACTGCACTCCAAACATGTTATTTATGTAAAATAAAGATCTATTCAATGTTTAGGGTGTCACCCAACTTAAAACTTACGTCTATACTTGGAGGGGAAACATTTTATGCTATGCTAGTATTATGCATATTCAGGCTGAATTCTTAGGTGACTGTGTTTGACCAGAAGAAGAGCTGTGTAAGCTCGAAATCTCTCTCTCTCTCCAATCTTGTTCAATAAAAGATCCTCACCCAGCTTGTCTGTGGTTGTTAATTCAGTGTTGTAGCTGCGTCAGTCCCAGGATATTAGAGAGACAAGGTGAGGTATCATCTTTTACTGGACCAACTTCTGTTGGTGAGAAAGACCAGCTTTCGAGCTTAGCCTCAGACCTGAAGAAGAGCTCTGTGTATGTCTACACTACAGCAGATGCAGCACCAAGAGAGCTCTCTCCTGTCGGCTCAACTCCTGCTTTAGCGAGAGGCGATAGCTATGTCTGACAAAGTGCTGACCACACCGGAGTTTAGATCAGTATAACTTTCGTCACTCAGGTGTGGATTATTTACACCCCTGAGAGATGTAACTTTTACCGAAGTAATTTGTTGTGGAGACATAGCCTGGGAAATGTATTCAGAATGTCATAGGGAAATACAAAGTAGAACAGATTGTTTAGCATAAGTAGTTAACACACATTTCAAGGGACTGTTCAAGGTGAAGTGGCCTGTTAACACCCCTCCAGTTGGGAAGGAAGGCAGCTGCAGGGGGAAAAGGAGGGGTTGTTAATGGGTTGTAAATTGCTGTAATAAGCCATAAATCCAGTGTCTTTATTCAGTCCATGATTTTTAGTATCTACCAAAGTTATTAATTTAAGCTCCCTGGTTTATCTGTTTGCTAAAGCATTAATAGGTTTTGGGATTCATCCATGAACCTCTTTTAGTCAAAATCTACTTGCACTCTTTAAACTTGAAAACAAAGTTTTCTCTTTCTTCTCTGGAATGTGTAATGTAAGGACATGCTGTTGGAGCCAGTTCCTCAGCTGGTGTAAATAGGCATAGCTCCACTGAGGCCACCAGAGCAATGCCAATTTATAGCTGCTCAGAACCGACCCCTTGAACTTTACAAGTGATTTTTGTAGAGCGCAATCCCTCCCACACGCATCAGCAACAGAAAAAGAGACCCAAAGCAAAGTGTGTACTTACTGCCCACAAAGAGAAGCGTTGCACTGTATTTTTTGTTTTCTTTACCAGAGATTTTACAAAAGACAGGAATGCCAGGCACTTCTGCATGCAACACCTTCTTCATAGTAATCACCATGTTTTGCTGGCTGGTGTTTGAATCTGGGTAATAATAATCAGTGTAATTAAACAAAAGATACTCAATTCTGCTATCTTTGCCTCCAATGCAGCAAAAAGTGACATTTGAACCTTCCTCTACAACTTTATCTTCTGGGAAGATGTATGGTGTGTTGTCATCTGAAGTATCTAGGCCTGCAAGATACAAAAGAATAAATCTTTTAACTTGAATATTCTTTCTTTATGCTGTGGAGTCTCTTGTGAGCAGTCTACCCCATGACTAGATAGCTGAGAAAGCACTAGGGACAAGTTTTCCAAAGGGTGTTCAAGATAGGTGATTGTGACTTTGAATGCATAACTGGGCATTTGCACACATCTGGTAATTGTACCTCAACTATCAACATGCAAACATCCATTTGTACACCCTCCTGTGATGTTCTCCCACTTCAGTCCTACTTAAACCCGTAAGATATAAAACTTAAGTGGTGCATGAGCCTTTGTACAGTGGTGAATTTCACCCCCTAGGACCTGATCCAGATCCCAATGAAGTCAATGGAAAGACTCCCATTAACTTGGCATGCATCCGACGAAGTGGGTATTCATTCACGAAAGCTTATGCTCCAATACGTCTGTTAGTCTATAAGGTGCCACAGGACTCTTTGCCCCATTAACTTTAGTGAGCTTTACATCTGGCCTCTAACACAGGATTTGTACATACGATTTTGCAAAGGCAAGCTGGGATGATAGGTGTGAACATTTCTTCCTTAATGACCAGGAAATGGTGTGTTTGATCCCTATCCAATGTTAATTCATAAATGGATCCCTTATGGCTTCAGTCTAACAAGCATAAAAAGATTTCATCCATTAAAAGGTGAGTTTGAAAAGCTTGTTATCTGCCAAGACCCAAGTTAAGGGCTCTGTGCTTCCCCTGCTACATTTGGTAACATTTCTAGTATCTAAATCCAAGCACGACCTGTGCAAACCTGAACCAGTGTGGATAACTAAACTTGGCAGATAAAAAGCTTTTCAAACTCACCTTTTAATGGACGAAATCTTTTTATTCTTGTTAGACTGAAGCCATAAGGGATCCATTTATGAATTAACATTGGACAGGGATCAAACACACCATTTCCTGGTAATTAAGGAAGAAAGTTTAGTGATCCTTTCAAAACACATTTTTAAAAATCATCTAAGTTCACCAGAAACTATGCTGTTCCAGTCAATCTGAAAGAACTAATCACTGCCTTGTATTCAGCCAATTTTTCCTGGGTTCTACGATTACATTTCACAGAAGTTCATTCAGAAGTGACGTAAGTAGTTGGTTTACTGCTAGTGTCTCTTGTCCTTAATATTAATTACGATTGCCAGACACAAACCTGTGAGAAACTAGTTAAGGTTATAAGTCTGTATCAAAACATAAAAAAAGAAAAAAGGAAAAAACTTACTAGAGAGCTGTAGTTGAAATCCTAACCCCCAACCTCATCCCTTCCCCATCCCACACCCACACTAATTAAATGATAAAAATGTCTAGAAATTCTAAATTAAGATTACATTTTTGAAAAAATGTAGAAATATTGAAATACAGAGTTAAGGGGTGAAATCCTGGCCCTAGTGAAGCAAATGGGAGTTCTACCATTGACTGCCATGTGGCCAGGAGTTCACCAAGGGAGCCTAAACCATTGTGGATCTAAGTCCCAGAAGACTTACAATAGAAACCTTGTTATAACCTTAGCTACAGAGAGATTTCTGTGTATTCATATTAAACTAGTACATGAATGCAGAGCCAAATCAACAATCTTGCATTAGGAAAAAAGAAGCATAAAATATAAACTTCAGAGAAACATTAATAACTCTTGGTTCTCAGTATTAGTTTATATGAATACTACAGCCTGATGACAGTGAAGCAAGAATCACAGGTGGTTAATTTATGCCCCACATTCACAGAACACATGATGCTGTTACAAATTTTGTGAAATTGTTGAAGTGATTCTGCACTGAGTCCAAGAATTATTATGCAACAGCTTCCGAAGAGACATTTTCTTCCTAGAAGAGCCTTAATCAAAGGAACAAGTCAGACTTCAGTGGTAAGGATATTACACCTTCCTTGTTTACTACAGCAGCATTGCCAAGGACATCACGGATATACAATGAAGTAGGACTAAATTTATCCTCAAAGACTAAGGCCTTGTCTACACTGGCACTTTACAGGGCTGCAACTTTCTTGCTCAGGGGTGTGAAAAAACACCCCCCTGAGCACTGCAAGTTTCAGCGCTGTAAAGTGCGAGTGTAGACAGTGCACCAGCGCTGGTAGCTACTCCCCTCGTGGAGCTGTTTTTTTTACGGTGCCACAACTATACAGCCATGTTAAAGCACTGCTGCAACAGTGCTTTAATGTTGCTAGTGAAGACATGCCCTCAGAGCTAGGAAAAGAAGCAAGAGTTCCTGGCTCTACCCAGCAGCTATCTTTCTTCTCTGCTTTTATACAGTAATACTCCTATCTGTTGTTTTAATTTGCGGACTACAGTTTTTCTAATGAGATTAAACAATACTTGGAAGTTCTATCATTTTTCTAGGACATTAAAAACATTTTAAAAAATGCACTAAATGACACAATTGTTCAAACCTAGAGGAAACTAGGGTGATAAGTAATAGCTAATGTGAATTTGTCAAAAACAAATCATTCCAAACCAATCTAATTTCCTTCTTTGACAGGTTTATGGCCTATTCAATAGCGGGGAAGCAATAGATACAATATATAAGGAAGGTTTTTGGCACAGTCCTACATGACATTGTCATAAGCAAACTAGGGACGGTGGTCTAGATTAAATTACTATAAAGTGGATGCACAACTGGCTGAAAAATTATACTCAAAGAGTAGTTTGAAATGGTTTGCTGTTAAGCTGGGAGGATGTATCAAGAGGGGTCCTGCAGAGGTCTGTTCTGGGGCCAGTGCCATTTAGTATTTTCATTAATGATTTAGATAATGAAGTAGAGAGTATATTTACAAAATGTGCAGATGCACCAAGCTGGAAGGGGTTGCGAACACTTTGGAAGACAGGATTAGAATTCAAAATGATCTTGATAAACTGAAGAATTGGTCTGAAATCAACAGGATGAAATTCCATAAAGACAAGTGTGAAATATTTCACTTAGGAAGAAAAGGATCTGGGGGTGATAGTGGATCACAAATTGAATACAAGGTGTCAATGTCACAGAGCATCAAATGTAAGGCACAGGAGGTAACTGTCCCAGCACTGGTCAGTACTGTGTCCAGTTCTGGGCACTACATTTTCAGAAAGATGCGGACAAACTGAAGAGTGTCCAACAAAAAATGGAAAAAGGGCTGGAAAATGTATGAGGAAAAATTGAAAACTGAACATGTTTATTCGAGTCAAGAGAAGGCTGAGGGGAGACCTGATATCTGGTTTCAAATCTGTCATAAAGAGGACAGTGATCAATTGTTCTCCATATCCACTGAAGAAAGGACAAGAAGTAAACATTCTAGTTTGCAATAAGGAAGATTTAGGCTAGATATTACGAAAAACTTTCTAACTATAAGGATGTTGTTGTTGTTCGTCCTTCGAGTTTGAAGATGACCATGACATCACTGATTGACTTGGTTTCTGTGAATACATGACTGTCTGATCAGGCCAATTTGAGGTCTGATCAGGCCAATGATTTAGTTGGGACTGGTCCTGCTCTGGGCAGGGGGTTGGACTAGATGGCCTCCAGAGGTCCCTTCCAATTCTGTTATTCTATGATTCTATGAGCTTTGAACTGTCTGTAGCAAACTGAACAAGAGATGCCACTATGGGTTACTTGATTAACAGTGGACATGCTGCTGTTGTGAGATTTATGCTGCTGGCACTTCTGTTCTGCCTCAGTAGTTCTCCTCTGCTCAGACTGGTGCTCCAGTATGGATGAGACTTCTCCAGGTAGAATGATCATGAGCAAGATCTTCCCAAAACTCTGTTGAAATGCCTCAAGGACAACTTCAGGGAGTCTTTGAAACATTTCTTCTGGCGTCCCTGACAGCACTTTCTCTGCTTTAGTTCACCATAAAAGATCTTTGGTAGTCACCCATCTGACATTCTGGTGACATGGCCTACCATCTCAACTGTGATTTTATCAACAGAGTATGGGTGCTTGGAATACCTGCCCATATGAGAATCTCCCTCTCTGGAACCTTGTCGTGCCATCTTATCCTCATCAGTCTCCTCAGACAGCCCATGTGAAAGTGATTCAGCTTCATAACATGGCGTCTATACACCATCTAGGTTTTTCATGCATACATCAAAGTTAGAAACATGATAGCTTTGTAGCTCATAGATTCATAGATTCATAGATTCATAGATATTTAGGCCAGAAGGGACCATTATGATCATCTAGTCTGACCTCCTGCACAATGCAGGCCACAGAATTTCACCCACCACTCCTAAAAAAGACCTCACATCTATATCTGTGCTATTGAAGTCCCCAAATTGTAGTTTGAAGACCTCAAGGAGCAGAGAATCCTCCAGCAAGTGACCCGTGCCCCATGCTACAGAGGAAGGCGAAAAACCTCCAGGGCCTTCCAATCTGCCCTGGAGGAAAATTCCTTCCCGACCCCAAATATGGCGATCAGCTAAACCCTGAGCATATGGGCAAGATTCATCAGCCAGATACTACAGAAAATTCCTTCCCGGGTAACTTGGATCTTACCCCATCTAAAAACCCATCACAGGCCATTGGGCCTATTTACCATGAATATTTAATTACCAAAACCATGTTATCCCATCATACCATCTCCTCCATAAACTTATCGAGTTTAATCTTAAAGCAAGATAGATCTTTTGTCCCCACTACTTCCCTCGGAAGGCTATTCCAAAACTTCACTCCTCTGATGGTTAGAAACCTTCGTCTAATTTCTAATCTAAATTTCCTAGTGGCCAGTTTATATCCATTTGTTCTTGTGTCCACATTGGTACTGAGTTTAAATAATTCCTCTCCCTCTCTGGTATTTATCCCTCTGATATATTTATAGAGAGCAATCATATCTCATTATATATGATAGCTCAGTTTTGTTTGTTGACTAATCCCTGTGCACTCCCACACATTTGCACATAGGCCACACTAGCTTTGGCAATTCTGGTGCTGGTTTCACTATCAATATGAACTGCATGTGGCAGTGTACTGCTGAGGTAGGTGAACTTGTCCAGTGACTGGAGGGTTTGGCCATGCACTGTGATAATAGGCTCTACATAAGGCTTTCTTGGTACAGGCTGGTACAGCACTTCTGTCTTCTTGATGTTGATTGAGAGACCAAAACTATAAGGATAGTTAAGCACTGGAACATGTTACCTAGGGAGGCTGTGGAATCCTTGCCAATGGAGATTTTAAGGCCAGGTTAGACAAACGCTTTACAGGGATGTGCTAAGTATACTTAATCCTGCCCCAGCACAGTGCTGAGGGGTGGGACAGGAGGGAAGGCGGAGGAGGACTAGATGACCTCATGAGGGCCCTTCCAGTCCCACATTTCTATGGTTCTATGAAACCATGCACACAAGTACAGCAGAACCCCATTTATCTGACCCTCCCTTAACTGGCTCCCTGCATTTACCGAACAAGCAGGACTCCAAGACCAGAAGCGGGTGATCTCTCCTGTGGCCACTAGATGGCGCTGCAGCATCACATTTTTCCATTGTCTGGTTTATCCGGATTTTTGCTTGTCTGATCTAGCCCGGCCTATCCCAATTAAATCAGATAAACAGGGTTCTGCTGTATTAGCAGTATATTCTAAAATGGTCCATTGATGTTGCATAGCCACTGCTGACATGAACTCCAGTATTTTACTGGCTTTACACTAGCAAATTAAACCACAGCATTAAATCAGCAAGGAAATATTCCAAAGTCTTGCTTTGCTTACCCAGCACAGTCTCCCACTGACTCCAGCGACTCCAGAGTTTAGAGAATCTTTCATCATTCACCATGCTCCTGATTCTTACAGAGTGGGACAAGCATTCCAAAGGTAATTCTGAATCCCAACTCCAGTGCAGAGTTTTTTTCAGTTTACTGAGAGTTGTGTTATAATACTCCTAAAAACAAACAATAGGTAAGCATGCTATTAAGGCGGAGTGTGGTGAACAAAGACACGTGTAGAATGCTTAGTTTGGAATTAGGTTTAGCTGTTACGACATAAGACAGGCTAGTAGGAGTTGCTGTTACCCTGGAATTGACATTCCTGTGTGTGCCCCAGAACTTGACAGTACCACAGTCAGCCATTTTGTATGTTCTGCCAGTGCCAACTGAAAACCAAACATCACATTGCTAGGAATAATCTTAGGCCTTTGTGACACAAGGTCAGACAGCTGCATGCTTGTAGTTTGTTAATCAGAATAATAAAATAGGACAAAAATTATTAAAAGTATGTCAATAGCAACCTGGGTTTAGGTGCCCCTGACATGTTGTTGTTAGGTAAAAATATTTTAAATATTTAAAATAAATTTATTAAAATTTTAAAAATTCTAAAACCAGTAGAGGTTGTTATGCTAACCGACTAGGAGTCACTATAGGTTATGTGCTTTGTTAAAGTTCGCCATAGAAATTAGGCAAAAGTAAATACCTCAGAGCAGTCTGAGGGAGCTTTTCTTCGGGCAAGGAGCTGACAGCTAAACTCCCCATCAGCTGTATGGGGAAAGGGCCCCGGAAACCTGGCTGTTTATCACTCAAAACCATCTCAGATTGTTGGTAACTATATCTGGAATTTCCTAAACCGTATGTGTGTGTGTGTGTGTGTGCTTAATATCTAATAAATAGTAGTTTTAAATAAGAGCATGCTCCCTTATATCAATCATTTATCAGACAGAAGCACTGTGTTCCTATTAATTTATTCCTAACACAGCCTGAAAAAAAATGGTAAGTTACCACTGTTTTGGGTTCTGAAAACTCCAGGTAATATTGGTGGTGTAACTCCCTAAAGCTCCTTGAAAATCCCAGTTGTAATCCTGCATCTCAGATTTTCAGAAAAATTTGTGTGTAACTATGGACCTCATTTACACATGCATGATTACAGGCTTGATTCACAATCATATAGTTTCCACTCCATGCCGGTGCAATTCTACTGAAATCAATTAAGCTATGTCCGCATAAAATCAGAGTCATGCAGTGGTGGATCAGGCCCTGTATGTTCAAAAGCAGTAATTTCACTTTCAGGTGACCAATAGGTTGATTGTGCTTGCAGTTATGCTAATTTGCACACACACCATTCCACGCACAGCTGCACACTTGATAGTTTTCTGATCATCTGGAGGCTTATGTACATCCTCACTCTACACTACTACTATATATATCTGTATTGGTGGAGAATTAATTTTATATTTGACTGTAGTCCTCAGACTGAAAGAGAGCTGAAAGTCCTACAATGGGATGGGGAACAAAAGGCATGGTAGGAAATGGTTTAAAAGATACGGTGGGGCTTTGTAATCTGCAAAAAGTAATTTTAAAATATACTACTGTTGAAAGGATACTTATCTGTCTGACAGGTTTCAGAGTAGCAGCCATGTTAGTCTGTATTCACAAAAAGAAAAGGAGTACTAGTGGCACCTTAGAGGCTAACAAATTTATTTGAACATAAGTTTTCGTGAGCTACAGCTCACTTCATCGGATGCATTCAGTGGAAAATACAGTGGGGAGATTTATATACATACAGAACATGAAACAATGAGTGTTACGAGAGTGATCACTTAAGGTGAGCTATTACAAGCAGGAGAGCGGGGGCGGGGGAGGACCTTTTGTAGTGATAATCAAGGTGGGCCATTTCCAGCAGCTGACAAGAAAGTGTGATGAACAGTGGGGGGGGAATAAACATGGGGAAATAGTTTTACTTTGTGTAATGACCGATCCACTCCCAGTCTTTATTCAAGCCTAAGTTAATTGTATCCAGTTTGCAAATTAATTCCAATTCAGCAGTCTCTCATTGGAGTCTGTTTTTGAAGTTTTTTTGTTGAAGAATTGCAACTTTTAGGTCTGTAATTGAGTGACCAAAGAGATTGAAGTTGTCAAGGTTCCTCCCCCACTCTGAACTCTAGGGTACAGATGTGGGGACCTGCATGAAAACCTCCTAAGCTTACTTTTACCAGCTTAGGTTAAAACTTCCCCAAGGTACAAATTAATTTTACCCTTTGCCCTTGGAATTTCCATTGCCACCACCAAACTTTAACTGGGTTTACTGGGAAACGTAGTTTGGACACGTCTTTCCCCCCAAAATCCTCCCACCCCTTGCACCCCACTTCCTGGGGAAGGTTTGGTAAAAATCCTCACCAATTTGCGTAGGTGACCATAGATCCAAACCCTTGGATCTTAGAACAATGAAAAAGCATTCAGTTTTCTTACAAGACAACTTTTAATAGAAGTAAAGGAACCACCTCTGTAAAAGAATGGTAGATACCTTACAGGGTAATTAGATTCAAAACATAGAGAATCCCTCTAGGCAAAACCTTAAATTACAAAAAAGACACACAGACAAGAATAGTCATTCTATTCAGCACAGTTCTTTTATCAGCCATTTAAAGAAATCATAATCTAACACGTACCTAGCTAGATTACTTACTAAAAGTTCTAAGACTCCAATCCTGGTCTATCCCCGACAAAGACAGAATATAGACAGACCCACAGACCCTTTGTTTCAGTCCCTCCTCCCAGCTTTTGAAAGTATCTTGTCTCCTCATTGGTCGTTTTGGTCAGGTGCCAGCGAGGTTACCTTTAGCTTCTTAACCCTTTACAGGTGAGAGGATTTTTCCTCTGGGAAGGAGGGATTTTAAAGGGGTTTACCCTTCCCTTTATATTTATGACAGAAGTGTTCTCCAACTGGTTTTTGAATGTTATAATTCTTGACGTCTGATTTGTGTCCATTTATTCTTTTATGTAGAGACTGTCCAGTTTGACCAATGTACGTGGCAGATGGGCATTGCTGGCACATGATAGCATATATCATATTGGTAGATGTGCAGGTGAACGAGCCTCTGATAGTGTGGCTTATGTGATTAGGCCCTATGATGGTGTCCCATGAATAGATATGTGGACACAGTTGGCAACGGGCTTTGTTGCAAGGATAGGTTCCTGGGTTAGTGGAAGGATCTACAACCTATCCTGAAGGATGACCCATCACTCTCACAGATCTTGGGAGACAGGCCAGTCCTTGCTTACAGACAGCCCCCCAACCTGAAGCAAATACTCACCAGCAACCACACACCACACAACAGAACCACTAACCCAGGAACCTATCCTTGCAACAAAGCCCGTTGCCAACTGTGTCCACATATCTATTCAGGGGACGTTCTTGTCAAGTGCTGGAAATGGCCCACCTTGATTATCACAACAAAAGGTCTCCCCCTCCCCGCTCTCCTGCTGGTAATAGCTCATCTTAAGTGATCACTCTTGTTAGAGTGTGTATGGTAACACCCATTGTTTCATGTTCTCTATGTATATAAATCTCCCCAGTGTATTTTCCACTGAATGCATCCGATGAAGTGAGCTGTAGCTCATGAAAGTTTATGCTCAAATAAATTTGTTAGTCTCTAAGGAGCCACTAGTACTCCCTTTCTTTTTATCTGTCTATGAAAGTCAAGAGGATAGTGACTGTCTAAAATATACAATGGAAAAGACGTTGATGATAGCAAAGAGGTCTTAGGAAATCATTTATACAGAAAGTCAGTAGTTTTAATCCCATATAAAAGGGAATGATAACATACTAGCAAAATTAATGAAGGGCCGGACAGAGGCTGGTTCCTGCCTGGTGGAAGATCCCTTGCAATCTCACTCCCGACATCCTCCTGAGTACAGAGACCATGTGAGGCTATCCCTGCCAGTGCACATAGTGCACAGGAATAGCCCCTGGTGCTTACGACTCAAACTGATTCAAGGACCAGAATAGCCATGCAGGCAAACGTTGCTCTGTTTTCTGAAGGGGCGGGGGGTGCATTTTTCCCAGCATGCTGCAAGTCTGCACAACCCCAGTGCAGGAGCATGGCTCAAGGCCACGACAAAACAACCCACACACACACACTCCTAATTAAATTGCCTGCTGCAAGTGTACAGTTCAGAACGCTTCTCACTTTTTAAAAACAATAAACTGGGTCCAATCCTCAGCTGGTGTAAATCAGCATAGCTCCACTGACAGCTCTGACTAGGATTAGAATTCACCTATCTCTGTTCATAAGATAACACCTGGGCTTTCTTCAATAGCTTTGCTCCCCAGACTTTTACAATTGATTTCAGTAGTATTTTATGATTTAATGTTAGTTTTTAATTACAGGGAAACTCTTTAGCTTCTGTTCTGAATAGTATGCAAACTGTACTTGCTTCAACGTGAACTATATCACTCATCCACTGTATTATTATGGTACTTACTACTATTTTATTGTAAAGAAGAAAGAACATAAGCTGCTGGTACTGACACACAACAACTGACCAAATGGAGTTTGTATGTTAAGCTTTTACCCTATGCATTGGATACTAGTCATATAAATTCAGCCTACTGACCTGGGATTTACAAGCCTGTCAGTCTTTCGGTGGAAGACAAATCAAGCATACACCATGTTGATTTTGAATCCATCACTTCAATTTCTATGGGAAGTGATAATACCTAATGAGCTCCCATATTCTTCCCTAAATGGTAAATAAATCTAAATAACTATAATGAGTCTATTACTCTTTAAGTAAGGGTGCCACAAATGGCCATTTATTTTATACTGAAACATTAGCTTTATTGCTAGACTAATGGGACGCCATGTCTGTTTCCAAGCACTAGCTATTATCTTAATCAAGGCTATTTGTCCTCTTGGCATTAATCACATTTTTTTCCAAAATGGATCTACAGCCAAAACTCTCTCTTCCTAAGGCCTTGGCTATACTTGCAAGTTAGAGCACATTAAATCAACCCCGGGCGCCCTAACTCCTCAGGTGTCCACACTGGCAAGGCACTTAGAGCGCCCGGACTCTGCAGCTGAAGCGCTCCTGGTAATCCACCTCCACAAGAAGCATAAAGCTTGCTGTGCCCTGGCTGAAACGCCCGGGTGCCAGTGTGGATGATGTGTTGCATTACGGCGCTGTGACTGGCCTTCAGAAACGTCCCATAATTCCTTGAAGTCAAGTGGCCACTCTTGTCATTGTTTTGAACTCCGGCTGCAGGCATGCAGATATCCCCTTTCAAAGCTCCGTGTCTGACACCCGGCCTGCTTATCTGCTCCAGGACAAAGCAAACCATTACTGTGGAATGCTGCTGCTGCTAAGGCAGGCGTGTGGAGGTGGAGGGGGCTGATGTCTGGGTTTCCCCCTGCTGCTGTCTGAACTTACAAGACAGCATGCTGACATACTCTCTGCCCCCCAAAAGTCTCTCCCCCCCCATACAAACAACACACTCCCTGTCACACTCCAGCCTTCCCATTTGAAAAGCACGCTGCAGCCACTTGCACACTGGGATAGCTACCACAATGCACTGCTCTCTGTGGCGTTACAGAGCTGCTAATGTGGCCACGCCACTGCGCTTGCAGCTGACAGTGTAAACACACGGCAGCACTTTCCCTGCTTCTGTCTCCTGAGGGATGGTTTAACTCCTGGCGCTCTACATCTGCAAGTGTAGCCATGCCCTTAGATGCAAAAGGCCCAAAAGTCAGCTTAGCTTGTGTAAGGTATGAGAGTGATAGCGTTTCATTGGTAAGGAGCATCCTCTGTGCTGCATACACAAATTAGAGAGGTGTAAATGGCAATTTACTGTGAACCATACTCAGCCTGGGAGGCATTTTGCTTCCTTAAAACACAATGGGCAAAATCCTGGCCCTATTTAAGTTCCTGGGAGTTTTGCAATTCTTGCTTTCAGCTGTGTGGACCCTCCCTTCCTCTAGTATAGACTAGTTTTTAACAAGCATGATTCTGTATGTTGCATTCTTGATGTCCTAGCAGATGGGATTTTCAAAAGTATTCAGCATAAGTTCTAATTCTGCTCCCATTGACTTCAACAGAAGCAGAGTTCAATCAACACTGAATGCATCTAAAAATCCCACCCTTTCGGTCTATTCTCCTGGGTAGTGGCTTTCTTGTATAATAAACTGGCCTTGAGAATTAGAACATTCCTCAGATTTTTCTAGGTTTTTAACATCTGTGGTTAATATTCTCCCACATTTCAATCAACAGATGGTTTAAAAAAATATATTTAAAAGCCCTACAAACACAGATTTCAAAAATATCACTTTTGTTAAAGCACTTCTGGAGCATATTTGTTTCACACCAGCTTACTAGGCGATTTAACTTGGTCACTTGGAGCATAAGCTTAGCAGCAATTTTAGGCTATTCCCTCTTGATTATGTTGTGACATTCTATACCTTGGGGGAAAGTCCTGTAACCCCCATATTACTCATCTGTATATAATTGTGATATTGCGTATAAAGCGGGCCGTGTGCGGTATCAGGAAAAGGTTATGATCTGCTGAAACTCATTTTTTTTAATCTAAATGTGTCTATCATTAATGCATATGAAGTTATGAGAATGTGTTGTATGGTTGTCACTAAAATATGCTGTGGTTTTGGGAAGTGCCCAGATACTAGCTCTCCAGAAACAATGAAAAGGGAAGAGGTAACCAGTGCCCGGGTGAGTGCTGAACAGACATCACCAGCCACTGTCCAGCAGAGGAGTTACAATTCAATGACTCACTCACAGGAGACACACCCAGGGATTGCTTCACCTTGTTACTCAGCAATGCCCACCAGACATGCCTGGACTTGTGTTCTCCAAGCATATGGACGTAGGGTATAAAATAGAACACAGGGGGCCCATGCTTCACTTTTCTCCTTCCCCCACCTACGCTGCAAGCAACAAGGGCACTCAGAAGACTGAAGACTTCAACAAAGGAGACTGGCCCAGGTTTAAGGGACAAACCTGTATATTAAGGACTGTAATATCCAGTGGAGTGAGAAAAACTGCTTAATCGGGATGTTGCCCACTCTAATAGGGTTGACAGTTTAGACTGTTTGCTTATATTTTATTTTATTTTGGTAACTAACTGACTTTTTGCTTATCACTTTTATATTCACTTAAAATCTATCTTTTGTAGTTAATACATTTATTTAACTGTTTATCTTTACCAATGAGCTTGCCTGAAGTGTTTGGTAAGGGTGTTTGCTCAGGTTTACAAAGGCTGGTGTATATCCACTTTTCATTGATGAAGTGGTGAACCAATTAATAAATTTGCACAACTCGTCTTGAGCAGTGCAGGATGGTGTATTCCTGAGGTACAAGGCTGGGAGCTGGCGGGGTTTGGCTGGTGCCTTTCTCTGTGTGATTCATGAGCGGCTCTGGGGGCATTCATGCGATCTAGCTGGGTGTGGGGCTCCACATGTTGTTGTGCTGAGTGATCACAGCACCTGGAGGGGTTTGCTGCTTGTCACTAGCAAAGCATTGTGAGAGACAAGCCAGGCTGGAGAGTTAAGGGGGCACAGCGGTCCCGCAGTGCCAGGCTTCACCTCGGGGATCCCATCACACATATATTCCCAGTGTGTGTTGATTCTCAGGAAGGCACAGAAAAATATACAAACAATGCAATGCACTGGATTCTGGTAGGTAATGCCTCAGAGGCAGCAGTGGCATCAACTGTTAAGGCCTATGCTTGCTCTTTCCTCGGCATGGAAAACAAGAAGGGCAATAGCCATCTAAAGTAGGTGAGTAGAAGAAAACAGGAATAAAATTCACAAATCAATAGTCAGGCTTGATGGCCTAGCTGTAGTGTGCTCACACACAGGAGACCAAAGCTTGTTTCCCCATTCTAGACTCATGTTTCTTGAGGGAAGCTATGAGAAACTCTAATGGAAATTATGTCTTATCTTTCTTAGCGAGAAGGATAGAGGTTCTAATAAGGGACCCTTAGTATGGAGTTTAGAGCAGTGTGGAGGAGTCCTCAAGGCACCTCATGCACTTGGGAGAAACCTTAGTAATGGACTTAGAACTCAATGATCCTTCTTAATATATTCTGTTTCCATGATCAGACGATGTTTCTATGTTAAACTGAGTGTAGCGCTAGTAAAATATATAGACCAGGGATCAGCAACCTTTGGCACACGGCCCATCAGGGAAATCTGCTGGCGGGCAGGGACAGTTTGTTTACCTGTAGCATCTGCAGGTTTGGCCGATCGCAGCTCCCACTGGCTGCAGTTCGCCATTCCAGGCCAATGGGGGCTGCGGGACACGGCGGCCAGCACATCCCTCGGCCCACGCCACTTCCTGTACCCCCAATGGCCTGGAACGGTGAACCACAGCCAATGGAAGCCATGATTGGCCGAACCTGCGGATGCTACACATAAACAAACCGTCCCGGCCCGCCAGCGGCTTTCCCTGACAGGCCGCATGCCGAAGGTTGCCAATCCCTGATGTAGACCTTTCTTTTGAAGCCTTGGACATGTCCATGTGACAAAGCTACCTCTACACATCAGAATGTTTGATTTTGATCATATTGATACATGAAGACATTTGAAATATATGTTTTTTAAAAGATACTTACTGTCCAGACAACATTCATTTCTTCAGTTCGACTAACTTGAATGTCAAAAACCATTTCTAGTTCAAACTTGTGGGCTGAGTCACTAACATCCCATTCCACCAACAAACGCTGCAGAGGCAAATTCTTGGAAACTTTAAGGAATGTAGGTGGAAATTCCTGGATTTCTGGAAGAATAAATATGGTTTAAAAATATTAACACTGATGCCTGTTTAACTCCATCAAATTTGTTTGAGCCAGGACAGGCTGTAATACTGGGGCCACTAGAGAAATGGCCTGTCAACATTTTCATCACAAACCTGAGAGTTCAAAAAGCTTCCTTTAGCCTCATTTCAAAATGAACTTAAAAGGACAGCTTTATGAAGACAAAACTGAGCCAAGATTTCCTTCTCATATGGAAAGTCTGACTCCACCTGGCAGCTCGACCAAGCTCCTCAGAGCATACCCCTCTTTTAATCTAATTGACCATACCTGGGCCCAGCCACATATCCCCTCACAGTCCCTGAACCTGGGGCATGCAGATGTTGACATTCCTCCTTTCAGGGCGACAGCAAATAATAAATTTAAAAACTACAAACAAATGTGAAACTAGAATGCTGTTGGATACCACCGTGTTTGTTCATGCTGATGTTCTATCTCTTTCCTCCATCCTGTGCCTGCTACGTACTGTACAAACACAGAACAAATAGACAGTCCCTCTCCCAAAGAACTTCTGTTCAAAGTATAAGACAAGAGACAACAGATGGATACGGAGGACATCGATGGGGGAGTACAAGAAAACAAAGTGACAGTATTGCTCAGCATGGCAGACAACGGTTTTAGCACACCAGAAACCTAATTGTTAAGGTTTTTTTGTAGGCTTCATGGCAGAAGAGTTTTAAGGAGAGATTTGAAGGTGGATAATGAATAAGTTTAAGATTTTGTCATGGTTATTTTTAGTAAAAGTCACAGGTAGATCATGGGCAATAAACAAGAATTCATGGAAGCCCGATCCCGGCCTGAGAGGGGGGCGCTGACAGCCCTGGGATGGGAGGGCTGACAGCCCGAGCCCTGCCACCCACCTGGGGGCAGGGGAGGTACACTGATAGCCCAACCCCTGAAGTCACGGAGGTGCCCTCTTTTAAGCCTAATTAGGAGTCAGCGGGCCCCACACAGGTGCATTGGCCTCTTCCCTCATAAAGGGCCAGTGGCACCCTGTGACATTTAGGTACTATCATAATAAAAACAATAATAACTCCACAGATGGGGATGATCTATAAGTGTCATAGCATCTATCTAACATTTATTCTCTGTGAAAGCTGAGAGGGAATTGCCACTGTATTTCAGCCCAGCAATTAGTATATTAGTACTGTCTGGTTGTAAAGAGTTCTAAATGACTAGAAAGTGCTGAGTTTTAGTTAGGTTTCCTACCTCACTACTTTCTCCTTCAGGTTTTTTCATATAAAGAATCATCCTTATTCCCCCCCAACTAACTACTGGGGTCCTTCACCCCCATCTTTTCTTCCTCTGCATCTTGTTTCTGGGCAGTATTATTTGCAAACACAAATTCAACCAGTGACTCACAGGTTTGGAGCAGAGAGATAGGATCTATCTCTTTCTGTCCAAGCTAAAAATCTCAGCTTGTCTGTCTGACATCTCCTAATGGATGTCTAAGCCCACCATGACCAAAGCAGAGCTTTTAATCCCTCCCCTTCCATACTTTCTCCTCTAACCTCATTTCTCAGTCACTGTGGTCAGTGCCACCATCCTCTCTGGATGCATCTGAAGAAGTGAGTTTTTTATCCACAAAAGTTTATGCTCAAATAAATCTGTTAGTCTTTAAGGTGCCACCGGACTCCTTGTTACCATCGTCTCTGTCACTCAGCCTGTGTTCCCGGTAAAGCTGCGCACTTGAGTGGCTGCCCTGGAGAGATTTAAGTGCCACCCAGCTGATTAGGAGAGCCCTCACAGCTGGCATCATGTGTTCAGGTACCCCTCCCCCCATGTTGCTCCGTCCTGCAGCTGCTCCCCTGGCTGTGCAGGGGGGGAGGGTGCTGATGTCAGGGTGCCCCCCTGTCCCCCACCCCATCTCCACAGAGCAGGGGAGACTGCCTGACTTGGGACTCAGAGCTGTTGCAGGGAAGGGTTGAGTGGCTGAGTGCCTTTTTTAAAGAGACAGTACATGTTTCTGAGATTTCCCCAGCAGCCACTCACACAGTCTCTCTCTCTCCCTCCCTATGTACCCCATCTCCACGGAGCAGGGGAGGGGAGACAACAGGGCTAAGGACAGAGCCCGAGAGCTTTCAGTGAGTGTCTTAAAGAGACAGCGCAGCGTGTCTCTCAGAAACTTTCCCAGCAGCCAGCACACACACTGTCTCTGTGACATGCACACACTGTGTCACACATTGTCTCTGTCAAACACACACGCTGTCACACACACACAATCTGTCACACATGTCACATTGTGTCACACACACACTGTATCAGTCACAAACTCCATCATACACTGTCACAGTGTTACAGACACTATCACACACGCACACACACTGTATCAGTCACACATACACTCTCTCTGTGTCAGTGTGTCTCACACACACTGTCACGCACACACACACTATGTCAAACACACAAAAACACAATCTGTCACACACACACACTGTCTCTGTGTCACACTCACCTCCCAACACATACTTGTATTGTTGTTGTTGGTACTTCCTGCAATGCACATATATTCTCTATAATTTAATTCTTTCAAAGTGTGTTATTTTAGTGTTTTGACTGGTCTAGGTATTTCATCATTTTTATTTCTCTTACACTGAAATTTAATTCTTTGAATAGTGAGTTGTAAAATGCCTAACCAGTTCTGACTGGAGTACTTGTCCCTATTTAACTTTTTTTAAATGTATATTATATCTAGGTTTTTTGTTTCTACTGGTGGCGCACATCCACACATAGCTCGGTGCAATAACAAAATTTATTCCATACATGGATGGAAAAAATTAGAGGGAACATTGCTAACCTGGACACCCTCTTCAACTCAGATCTCACTCTAAAGCCTCACATCCAGGCCATGTCTAAATCTTGCTTATTCTTCCTGCATAATATCTCTAAGATCTGGCCTTTCCTATCCATCCACACAGTTAGATCTCTCATCCAGGCCCTCATTATCTTGTATCTTAATTACTGTAACATCCTGATCTCTGGCCTTCACAAATGCAGTCTTGGCCCACTTATATCCTAGCTTGTCACTTTAATCATGTCACCCCTCTTTTGCATCCCTTCACTGGCTCCCCCTACTGCATAGCATCAAGCACAAACTACTTGCCTTCACATTCAAGCTCCTTCATGGCCTATTCCCAATGCCACTTATCTCTCACACACTATCACAATGTTGGCACCAACCTTCACTCTGCCAATACTGGCAGTCTCCATCATCCACTTGTTAAACAAGCACCTTTGTACTTTTTCCCATGCTGCCTGTAACAGGATAACTGTACCCTTAAAGGTAGTAGGGACTAGATGTCAGTCAATCCTTGCTCGGTGGTATGTCTGTTTAAGGTCTTTGGGATTACTGGAGATGAAGAAGACCTAGAGAAGGGCAGAGGCAGGTGTTGAGAGAGGATGGTTATCCCAGATGAATGCTTGGAGAAGACCCAGGTTACTGTATCTTTAAGAGTTTGGGACCTGACCCCTCTCTGCCCAGAAATTACAAAGGGAGGCCAGGTGGGGAGAAGCTAGTTATAGGGCTGCAACAAGCCTGACAGAACAGACGCGGCCCCTGAGGAGTTGTAGGAGTCCTAAATGAAGAAGGGTGGGGGCTGAGCTGTGTTTTTGGGAAAAGACTAACTAAATAAGACTGCATGGGGGGAACCTTGTTTAAGTACTCTGCCCTGAGAGCAAGTCATTATAAAGAACTAAGATGAAACTGAGGGCAGGGTGCCTGCCGGGGTAGACAAGAGAGGGTTCCCTGGGACGGCATCCATCCACAACCGGCGTAGTTGCCGGGATCCAAAACGCCTTCCCATAAAGAAAGAATGACTGAGTGATAGAGCATGGATACCTTCTTTGGCAGGCAGATGTTCCCCCTCCCCAGGTGGCATATAGAGGGGGAGCAACAACCTTGGGAGTGTCAGCAGCAGCAGCATGTCAAAGAGGTCCAGTGACCGGGAGAATTCGGCTGCTATGGATACTGACAAGGAAAAAGGTGAGGGGCTTGGCCACTTGTGTGCACAAGTGGGGCATGTAAGATGGGTTTGCCCCTATATGGACAATGACTATATAAAATATATTGAATAGAGCACTGGGCTGTTAAAGGTACCCTGCCAAAAGGTGCTGGAGCCCAAGCTACTGCAAAGCCTCCACAGAGGACTGTGAAGACCCAACTTGGGGCAAGGAAGGGTGAGAATCCAGAGACAAGCTGTTCAAGTTGTGGGGACCTGGGGCACATAGATGTTGTCCAGCTAATATTTTTGACTTTGAGTGGATGGACAGATGAAACAGGATGGAGGCTGAGAAGAAAGACTGAAGAAGCAGCTAATTGAACAAGCAGAGGTAAACAGGAACCATAAAAAAGCAGTTTCCAATATAAAGTCCTGACAGAAAAAGTTAGAAGACTTGCTTGTTGAAAGGTTGGAACATACGGAAATAGAAGTGTACAGGAACACGAGACAGCAGACTTCTCCTTCAACAGAGGAGTAAGCTCTGAAACAGAGGCTGGAGCTAGAGAAGGTCAAGTGTTCCCTGGAGAGCTAGATGAAAAAGGAGCCGAAGACTAAGACCAGTGAGCTCCAGGAACTGGTCAATGAAACAGTAGCACTACGCACCCTGGCAGAAGAAGCTGGGTTGCCAAGAAAGCCGGACCAGCACTACATAGAAATGCAGGGCCGAGGCATTGAAATATTGATAAGATGTACGATAAAATGGTGGAGCATGTGAGGGGATTACCAGGAGGCCTGTGTTGATACAGAGAAGCTGACTGACATCACTCCTCCAGAAAGACTTTCCAAAAAGGACAATTAGTAGTTCATCAAAGGACTGTGTATTCTGTGGCACAAACATTGAGGATGGGCATAAAACAGAATCATAGAATATCAGGGTTGGAAGGGACCTCAGGAGGTCATTTAGTCCAACCCCCCTGCTCAAAGCAGGACCAATCCCCAATTAAATCATCCCAAGATGTGATAGAAGA